TTTTTTTTTGGTACTAGGGATTGAACTCAGGACTTTGTGCTTAAAAGGCAGGCACGGCGCCACTGAGCTACATCCCTGGCCCCTTTAATGGCATTATCATGAACCAGGCATTGCATTAAGTATTAATCTCACCTATCCCTTACACATCAACCCACGAGATACCTAATGCATAGATGGGGAAGTGGGGTCACAGAGGTTAAGGGATGCAAGTCAGGATTTAAGGCCTGTTTGGTTTGATGCAGCCAGGCAGCCTCTTGACCTTTGCTAGCTCTGATGTTTAACTGCTACTCTGATATAGTGATGCTTACAGGCTAAACAGTACCTCCTAGTTTCCAAAAGCTACATGGTAGTTAAAAGAATACACTCTTGAGTTAGCTGTCTTCGTTCTAGTCTCTCTGCCTTTTACTGTGAGGCCTTGGGGAAGTCACCTCCTCTTCTGAGACTCTATTTCTCCCTCTCTACAAGGGGCAACAATGACAGCAGGTACACAGAGCTGTGGTGAGGACAGTGTAAGCTGATGTCCTTCATACCCTCGGCACACAGTGACTCCTCATTAAAGGTCCTTTCCTATAGGTGTCCCATCTGACCCGCTCTCCTTAGCGCTCTTGTGCTCTAGCAGCTGTGGGACACTTTTCCCTCTCTGGCAATGCAGTCTACATGGTACTCTCCTCTGCCTTGGGCTTTATGAGAGGGCAGAGAGGGATGACTGGAGAGGGCTAGGCTCTGGGGATTCCACCAGCCCCATCACAGAGCAGGTCTCCTCCTATCTGCTCAGAATTCTGGAATTCTGCAGAAGATATCATCACTTAAAAAGAGGAGTTTCCCATTTAATTTCTAGGAAATGTATAGACTAAATGAAAAAATGGGTGTGTATCAAATTTTAACCCTAAAATGCATATATTTTCCATTTTTTTTTCTTATGCTTTCATCTGACTATGATCCAAAGGTAATACTTTGGATGGGTAGATGTGGGACAGTGCTCCTGGTACAATTTCTTCCCTCTTCTCCTCTTGGTCTGCTTGCGGATCACAACCTCAGGTGATCTTGTTAAAAGTACCCATGTGGACTGGTTCTCGGTTTGATAAGCTCCCAGGAAAAGTCAAAGTGTTCAGAGGTAAGCTTTGAAGAAACACTATTCCAAACAGAGGAGGAGGAGGAGTGGGTGTGTCTCTCTAAAAGCCCTTTAAAATGCTGACATTTTTCAAGGAGTATCTTGAGGGACTCAGTATGTAAAAACATGCTGAAGCTGAGCCACTTGGTGAAGGTGGCCTTGTGGAGCACTGCTCAAATCCAAGCTTTGCATTTTTCCTCAGGGAGAGCCCACAGCGCCTCCTTGTGGAACTGGATCAATAGAACAATTCTTGCAGGGTTGAGGGACTTCCCTCCCTAGGAGCTGGTTCCCAGGATTCCTTGCTGCAACAGCCACCCCAGCCAGGTCCTTTTTTACTTCTGTGATCTGATACCCTATGAGGTCTTCATTCAGGATGTGACCTTTCTAGGAATGCTCCCCTTCACATTTAACCCCATCCATCCTTCCTTATTCCCATATCTCACCCCAGAGGAGTTCCTGGAACCTTCTCACCTCCAGCTGCCACGGGACATACATGTTCTGTACAACGAAATCCTTCCCTAGCTTGGTCTTCAGTTCTTTCAGGGATTCAAGACATAGCCTCACAAATATACTAAAATCAAACCATAAATTCTTGCGTTCAGAAACCCCCTTCTCCTTTCATCGTGCTCCTGACCCAGCGTTAGGCACGTGGTTAGGACTTCAGACACACTGGCTGAAAGCTCAATGAATGAGTGACACCACATGCCCTTCCCTCTTCACACCATCCCAAAACCAAAACAAGGATAAAGCTGATCATCTCTAGGACTGCATTTCAAGTTCCTCCTTGTTTTCATTATTTTGAAGAGTGTTTAGCAAATTTCATTTTCATGAGATCAAAACTTATTTTTTGTTTTGCATTTCTGTCAAGGCAGTTAATTAAAAAGCTTTAAATTCCCAAAGGCTGGGAATTTAGCTCACTGGTGCTCAGTCAGCACACGCTGCTCTAATACATCTTCACATTCTATACCTTACACCACCATTAAATAAACCTTTCACTCAAACGTTCTGCTTCATGTTCCTTTTTGTTCAGTATTCATTACCCACGACTTTTTGAATCACGCTGTAGTAACATGTATTTCACAAACGTTCTAGTTTTGCCTCTGTGATTTTCTCATTGATATGGTTTGCTAATAAATGATGCATTGCTCTTTGGGGTGTATCACCTCTTGTCCTTAATTTATGAACACAGGCTGGGTATTGTTAATCACATTCTAGTTTCTTTTATTGGTCTATTTTATGCCCCTTTGTGCTCTTTCTTCTACTCTTTTATTGCCCAAACTCCTTTGCTTTCTTCTACCTTTAAACACATTTGAAAGATAAACACATTCTATTTTCATTCAGTTAGTGACCCCTCTGCTCTTCTTTGGTTTTATAAAAGGTCTCGGGTGACTCTGTCAACAGTTTCTTAGCTGTGTACATCCCAGGTCCCTCCTGAGGAAGATGGGATCTGACTTTGGTTCTGGAGGTTCTGGAGAACTTGGGAAGGAAGACACTGTGCCTGCATGGATGACAGGAACTGCTTCAAATTCCTGGTCTCTGCAAGCTGGCTCAACATCCCTGAGGTGGGTCACCCACACTGCCTCTCCACTATCCTTGACTGGAGTTTTGAGCTTTAGTGTTGGCAGCTGAGTCCCTCCTCCTCAATTTCTGACACATCTCCCCATGACTACACAGTTACTAGAGCAAGAAGGTGAGACAGAGTTCTGCACTGGGCACCAGTCCTGAAACTCTCTGTCTGGGCTGTCTTGATGCCCTGATGCTCTGAGCCTGAGATGGGGCCCCCTGGATGCACCCGTTAACCCACGAAGAACGCAAGCATCACCTGGCAATCCTCACAGCAACTCTGCTGTTTTGAGGTTTATGAACCACATGGTCCTCTTGGAGGAACAGTAACCAGAGCTTGGGTCTCTGCTTTGGCCTACAGGGCTCAGTCACAGCCAGGCAGCACACCCGGCCTGCAGCCTCTTACCTCAAACTGGATCAGCACCGTCCCACTTTCGAGGCCCTTCTTTAGCAGTTCCATGGATCCCTCTAAAGTGTCCCCACCGTCAGGACACATGGGGAAAATGGCCTCTGGGAAAAGCTGGTTCAGTTCCTCTTCAGATTTGATCTCAGCAAACGAGTGGACAGCTGGAATGAACAGACAGCATCTGGCTTGCTACCGTGGCTGATCAGTCTCCCTCAAAAACTTTCCCTATGGCACCCGGTGCAGATGGTTTACAATGTCTTATTAAATGATTAGGTGCACAGTGATCACCTCACCAGAGATACCACTTTCAGGCGAATGATTCAGTACATGGTAATTATAGAAAGCACTATACTAATCTTTCTGGTTAGTTTTAAATGATGGTGTTGAGTTCACACAGGCTTTTTTTGACAAGGTAAGGAAAAAGGAAATGGAAAAGTTTTAAAGAAAGTGTGTCTTCTCTGCATGCTCTCTGACCCGGTTATTTTTCTACCCATCCCCAATACCCCTTCCTCCTTTTCATTTACTCCTTAAAATGGGCATTTCCCAGGCACCAGAAGAGGGACCAAGCTCTTGCCATGGCATCCTCATTCCTGAGAGCCCACACTCTTCATTCCAGGATATTTCTATGTGGGAGGCTCCCAAGTATCTCCAGTCCCAATGTCTCCTCTGTGTTTCAGCTATATTTTTAAAATCCAAATTATCTCCATGTCAAACTTAACAGGGGAAAACTTCCTGCACAATAATTCTATTTGTCTGTATCTTCTCTTTCTTTCTTCTCTCAAATTGGAAGCTTTGGGGTCATTTCTGAGTGGAAGAGGAAGTCACTCCCTCACTCAAAGGGTTTCAATAGGCCAGGTGTGGTGGTGCACAGCTGTAATCCCAACACTGAGGCAAAGCTGCAAGTTTGGAGCCCACATGGGCAACATAGGGAGACCCTACCAAATAGATAGATAGAGATAGAGAGATAGACAGAGAGAGAGAGAGAGAAAGAGAGAGAGAGAGAGATAGAGAAAGAGAGAGAGAGAGAGAGAGGGAGAGAGAGATTAGTTGAGGGTGTACCTCAGTGGTAGAGCACTCCTGGATTCAATCTCCAGTATCACACATACCCACAACCTTCAATGGTTCCCTGCTATCTTTAAGGTAACAGGAAAGGAGAAAAATCATGTTCAGGTTTTCCTATGCAGTTGAACTAAATCCTCACAATTCTGAATTTTTTACTGTTCTTTTTACTTCACAGATGAGGAAGTAGAATCTCAGAAAAGTCAAATCGTTTCTCCAAAGTAACTCAGCCTGGCAGGGCAGGACACGGCAATCTCTGGCAACAGGCAACAGTCCAAGGCCCTATGACTCTAAAGACCACATTCTTCTTACTGACCATAGTAGCTCATCTCTTCTTGTACTATGTGATTTCTGTCCTATGACTCCCCTGCCCCAAGTCAGCTTATCATTTTTCTTTTATCAATTCATATTTTTTACTTACATGCTTACATTAAAATAAACTTATTACAGCTTCTAGAAAACTGGTGGGCTTGCTGTTTAGCTCTAATTGCCTACCATGCCTTTCCTTGGCCCCAAAAGGACCAGCCCCTTTCTCGGGCCTTGTGGAGGCCTTTCCTGCTGCTCTGGACACCCGGCACATGACAGGACACACCTGTCATGCAACAGAGGCATGTCCTCATCTCCAACTCCTCTGACGCCTATCACTGTGGCCTTACTAGTCACACGGCAGTGGACAACTTCCTTCACCTCTCTGTGGCTTGGTTTCCACCTTTTCCCACTTGGGATGAGTATACTCAGCTCAGAGGAGTTGTGAGAGTTGAGGAGGATGATGATGTAGAGCCACTGGCATACAGCAAGGCCTTCCCAGACACTAGCCACTATCATGACTCAATACGTACTGTGCGCCAGCCCATGGCTGGGTTTGGTGGGATGAGGAGGTGGGAAGGGGATGGGAGGGACCCAGAGAGAACCCCTAAGTCCTCATGGAGGAGAAAGCATCAGGGTCTACATGGACCTGGCTGGGCAGGACTGGGAGTTCTTGTGGGAGCAGTGAACGAAGGGTGTGAGCTGCATGTGTATGCCAGGCCAGGGCTCTGCAGTCACATCCTTTATTTAGTCAGCATTTAAAGCTGTGCAGGGGGACCCAAGGGACAGGGTTATTTCTGTAAAACAAGCACAGTAACAGTAATAACACTCAACAGAGTTCTCCTTTCAAACACCTGCTGCAGTCAAGCTGCAGCCCAGGTTCTCTCCAGTGTACCATTCAGTCTTCACAAGAGCTGTGAGAAGGCCACGAGGCTGTCCTCATGTCACATGTGCGGAAACTGACATGCAGCCTGGGTATGCAACTTGCTCAAGGTCCTTCCCATCCACAGGCGGTATCACCGAGACAACCAAGCTCCGCCCTGCCATCCTGTCTCGAATAATATGTAACTGTATCCTCCAAGAAGGAACAGGGACAGCTGAGAGTATGGTTGAGCAGTGCCTGGCTGGCGGGAATCAGAGCGCTAGCCCTGTACAAGTACACTGTGGGGCTGCCTCTCTCTGCCCACAAGGGCCAGCCCCCGCCCCTCCACTTCAAGTTTCCCCAGCGAGGCGCCGGTCATTCTGCTTGTTATGTGAACATTCTTTTCAACTGTTGGCTGTAGACCCAACATTTTCAAAAGCAGGGCATGGGCTAGAGAAGATCCTGCTCTGTTAGGGCATCTGTGGGGGCTGTTACCTTTCCTCCTGATCACCAGGGCCAGCTCCCTCGAGTGGGACTCCCGGCTGGCTTTGATGAACATCACCACCTGGTCGTGGGTGTGTTCTGAGATGTCCCGGCCATTGATCAACACGATCTGATCCCCTTCATTCAGCTTAGGAATGCAGGTGTCAGCCTGGTGGAGGGAAGCGAGTTCTCCGTTACCATAACATCACCCTCAAGGGAAGATCGCTGAGCTTTCTGATGCTGGGCCCTGGAGACTGATCAAGTTCACCTTCCCTCTCCCAGGTATCGCTGTCATCATTTTTACACACTTTGCTACGTGGACGTGGTAGTGGGTTGTGGGATTGCAAAGATGTGCTGCTCAGAATGCAAGTTACGAAACATTTCAGAATAAGCCTAGAGACTGCCAAAGCTACTCCTTCACTACAGCCAACCTTTACTTACTATCAAAATGATGGCGATACCTTCATCTGTTGTTTTCGGGGTATACTGTTAGAAAATGATTTGCCAGCTACAAGTAAGTGTGTATCTGTCTTGCAGTAGAGAAAGGAAGCCTTTGTCAGCAGAAGCTGTCATGGAGCTGAGTGAGAAACAGTGTAAGAATGAAAGCTTCCTTAATCTCCCAAAATCACAACTAGTGACAAATTGTATACAATAAGCTTAAAGTCTACTTAAAAGTCTCCTAAGGCATAGCAGTTCTCTGATGCTCTACTGTTTTGAAAAAGCAGATGATACAAGGTAATTGGAAGGTGATAGCTGTGTTAATCTGTTTGACCACTGTAAATGTTTCACTATATATAAGTACCTCATGCTGTACCCCTTAAATACATACAAGAAGAAAAACTAGAAAGAAAAAGTACACCAGCTCTTTAGGAGGCCTTCGCAAAGGGATGGGGAAGGACTGGTGGCGAGATGGTAGGAAGGGGCCCAAGATTATGAATCTATTTCACACACACAGAGGAGCAAGCCCAGTGCCTCAGTTTGACTCCCTCAAGTAGTAGTTTTTAAGATGTAATGTGCACCCAAGGATCTTGTTTTAAATGCAGACACTGGGTCAGCAGCCCTTGTAAGGGCCTGAGGCTCTGCATGTCTAGTTAGGGCCTGTGTGACACAGGTGTTGCAGCCTCATGGACCACACTGAGCAGCAAGGTTCCAGAAAACACGTGCTCCATTTTTCCTCTCCGTCTACATGTATTTACACACATTCTTCGCTGCTGTAAAGAGGAAAAGGCAGAGAGAGGGAGACAGGGAGCGGGAGGGAGAGGAGAGGAGGGAAGAGAGAAGAGAGGAGAGAATAAATGGGATACAGAAATGGGAACTAGTAGGGTTATGGGAAAGCAAACAGGCAGCAACCTGGGACATGTTTACTCACAGGTGACTCTGGATTGATCCTTGAGACTACCAGAGGCATCTTCTGATCCACTCCTCCCTGTAATATTTTAAAGTGAAAAGACACTTGAGTAGTTCACAGCAAGGAAAGACAGGCAGATAACCAATGCATGTGAGTCTTCTGGCCCAGGGGAGGCCTCACACTTGGCCTGTGCCAACCACAGACTGGGCACCCCTTCCAGAACCACAGGACACACTGCTGACTCCTCCACACCTGCAGAGCAACCAGAAGAGCTCTGCTCACCCCCACCTGCCCGCCTGCCACCACCCCAGGTCCGTGAATTGAAGATGTACTCCGAGGGTGGGGGCTCCGTGTCACCAGTGCTGACCCTCTCAGGAGAAGGGCGCCAGAAGCTGCTGGGAAAGGGAGGCCTCAGGGGAGGCAGTGAGGCCTTGGGAAGGGTCACACACGTGTGAGCAGAGTGAGGGAGAGGTAGGCCAGCAAAGCCTGCCTGCTCCTACTTGGCAGGGGCTGGGAAGCTTTCTCTGTAGAGCCGGAGAGGAGAGATTTCAGGCTTTGTGGAAAAGAGGGTGCTGATGTAACATCGCCAAAGCTGTAAAGGGAGGGGGCACGTGAAGCACTGATAAGGGGCCAGTGTCGGTGTCTCTTAACAAGTGTCCTTGAGGGAGGTGTGTGGCTGCTATCAACTCTCTGAGCTTTAGTGTTCATGGGTTTAAAAACACGGTTGTCACTGCTTATTTTAAGAGCTCAATAAGATGGCATAAATCTAGTGCATGGCAAGTCAGGTAGAGAGCAAGTTCTTAGTACGAGGCAGTAGCTGTGGCCATATAAAAAACTCCCAGTTCTGAGGGCTGAACTGGTCTCCTCATGTAGTGGAGGTATGCAGTATGTTTCTAAAGAAAATTAAAATCTCACCATAAAAACTCCTTACAATACACAGAGCGTACCTTAAGATTAAATCCAAATTTTCCATCTTCATCCGGTGTGATCCGGATCAAGACTAAGTAGCTGTCACCATTATCATTCTGGAAAACATTGGAAAGTGGTCACAACGACATTATTTCCCTCTCCAGTGGTTGGTGATAGTTTCTCTGGTCACAATTCTTAGCTGCCTGCCCTGGCCGCTTCCACGTGGCGTGACCTGAGCCCACTCACCTTGTCGCAGTAGTACTGGCCGGTGTCCTCAGTGGAGCCCCCTTTGGTCACCCTGTGGTAGTCCTCCAAGAACTGCTGGTCGACTCCATCTGGTGAGCAGGAGCCTGGAGCATTTGAAGATGGAGACACAGAACTGGATGACTTCTGGGTCAGGCAGCTTTGTGCCGGGTTGTTCTCAGATAAACTCCTTCAGTGTGGGGAAGGAAGAGTTATTTTAATAACTGTTAATTAATTAATATGTTTCAGAACAAACACTGTCGACTGCTGGGGTTATTACTGACCCCTGGAGCCTTAGCAGATCTGCAAAGGTCAAATGTAGGGCTCTGGCACACTCAACCTGTCTGGCTTAAATATTAATCCATTTCAACATGGGAACTCAGTTCTCCACCCAGCTGCTTTGGAGCACTGATGAGGAAATGGGTCCAGCTACTTGGGTGGTTTAACTAGTTTAGAGGACTCTTGCTATGTCGCCCAGGCTGGCTTCCGGTAGCTGGGGCTACAGGTGGGCACCACCATGCCTGGCTCTGGTGATTTAAGTACTGAACCAGACTCTGACAGCAAGGTCATGTAAATGGATATGCTCCCATCTCTTCTGGAGCTTTACTTCCATCTCATTCCTGCTGATAGTGCCGTTCCACAGGACTCTGGGCTACCCACAGCACATGGACAACGCTCCTGAGACACCCTGGCTCTGACCTCACGGAGCCACGGGATCAACATCCCTATCATCACTGCACAGAGCAGACAGGATGCTCAGCTTCTCTGCGTCACCCCACTAGCCACTTTAGGGCCATGCGGATTGAGCAGGGGTCTTAAAAAACAATGAGTATGGGGTTCTCCCTACATTCTACAGATTCTGCTACATCCTAGTTCCATACAAAGTGAAGACAGGGAATAGAAACAAATTAGACAAGACAGAGGAGGCAACTGCTTCTACCTCTTATCCATGGATTTTTTTCATTAAAATGGTGCTTCTGTTTCAAGTTCAAATTAGCTTACCATGCCTGTCTGTGTGTGGTGAGTGGGGATGGAACCCAGGGCCTTGTGCATGCTAGGCAAATGCTTTACCACTGAGTTGTACCCCAGCCCCAGTTCTGCTGTTCATAAGAGCACCACCTAATGGTACAACGGGCAACTGCTAAAACTAAAAGGTCTGGAAAATGCTGTTTCCAGATCTAGCGTTGGATGTGAACCTTTTATAGGAAGAAGTTGCCTACTGGCAACTGTCCAATTTGAGGTGTGAAGCATACACACTTCAAATGTTTGGATGAGTCTAGAGGGTGGGTGACAGCTGTGGAAAGGTGGCTGGCAGGTAAACAAACACCAGAAAAGCCAGATGAATTAAGTTTATTTAATTATGAAGTATGTTTATCTAATGTTACGAATGTTTATAGAATGTTATGAATTATATTTATTTTATTTAATTTTTAAGCTGTGGATCTCAAAGTATTTTTCTGTGGGTATAGACTTTATTTTATGAGATTTAAAAGTTTTTCATAACTAAATGGTCTAAAACAGCTCACAGTACTAAATAATATTGGTATCACTATTACTACAACTACCGCTACTGCTGCTGCCGCTTCTGCTGTATTAGTACTAACAAAATATTCAAAGTCATCCTAGGTCTCAATCTTTTTTCTGAGTAGGTTTGAAGAGGTTACTTTTAGGCAGTAAAGTGTTTACACAAAGGGCTGATTTCTGGCCTGATCAGCTGTGTACAGAGGTTGCCCATAGGGCACAGAGACATTGAGTTCACTGTGTAAGAGGACAGACGGATGAGGGGAAGCACATGGCAGGACACAAATGACACATGGTGGCACCTGGACAGGAGTGGAGATGTCAAAATAACAGGCTCTTCCCTCACTGGCAGGACTTTAGGTGCCACTGAGGTGGGTCAAGTGGGCAAGGAGATAAAGGGAAGGGGACTGATTCGTGGATAGCGCTCCACGCAAGTGTCTGTGAGAAAAGGAAGGTGGGGTGAGGGACAGAAGATGACCTCATGGCAGGGATAGAGCTGATGACTGGGGGGAGGAGGAACAGAAGCAAGAATCTGTCCCTGACGCAGGAAGAAGGGGAGGTCAAGGACTGCCACCATCCTCTAGGAACCAGAACAACAGTAGGAGGTAGAGCATGCACCTGTCCCCAGGGAGAAAGCAGCAGAGATGGAATGTCCATCAGATGTTTCAGAACTGTAGTGGTGATAGGCATCAGAAACAAGCTACACATGAATTCATTTCTCTAGAGAGCAGCAACTTTAAAGAAGTAAAAAATGAGTTTGTCATGAAAGGAAGATGCTCTCCCAAGAAAGGGTGTGATGCTCAGTTTGAGAGCTGTCTGGGAGGCAGAAAGAAGGGTTCAAGGATGAGGGACAAGGATGGCAGAAGGTTGAGAGGAGTCAAGGATGGCTGATGCTTCTGGGAGTCATACTGAAACAATGGCCCCTTCACCAAGATACAAGGCAGTCATGAGATGGACATGAAGACAGGGTGTCAACTGGGCCAGGCTGGGTTCTGGGTGTTCATGAGACATCTGCCCACATGCAAGTGGGCAAGGCCAAGAGTTCATCAAGGTTCAGAGGAAATGAACACACACACAAACACACACCACAAATGAACCCTGCCCCTGAATGGTGCCCTCGGAGGAGACACCTGGATGGCACACAGACCCTGTCCTGCATTTGGGTCTGTGCCACCCTCTGCTGAGGAGCTGACGTGCACCTGGGGAATGGTGGCAAAGATGGGAATGGGCAAGATGGTCAAAGGAGCCAGGATTAACCTAAAGAACAGTAGCCAGGTCGATCATGTAGAATTGGAAGAGGTGCCACGTATGCTGTTTTGGGGCTCAAAACAGGAATCTATCTGCTGGCTTAGAGTCTAGGAGATGTCCAGCACAGTTCAGGAAGAATATTTGGTCTCAGCAGCCAGGGTGGATTGGTTCTAGGATCCTAGGCCCCTCTGCCATGTCTAAATCCAGGATGCTCAAGTCCTTATATAAAACAGCATAGTATTTGCAATAACCTACACACATCCTCCTGTATACTGTTGAGTTATCTCTAGATGACCTGTAATACCTAACACAATGTAAATGCTACATATATAGTTGTTATACTGTGTTCACCGTTCCCACACTGAAGATTTAACCCAGGGTCATCTCACTCAGTTACATCTCCAGCCCTTTTTTATTTTGAGACAGTCTCACTAAATTGTCCAGGCTGGGCCCAAACTTGTGATTCTCCTGCCTCATTATACTGTGCTGGTTAGGGAATGACAAGAAAAGATAGCTTGCACACGTTCAGTACTAATGCAGCAACCATCATGGGCCTGACTACATTTTGGATGTATGGATGGTTGAATCTGTGGATGGAGAGGGCTCAATATCCAATGACCAGAGGGTCCAACACAGCATGCTGCTGCACCTACACACTGCAGGGAGCTCTCCCTCCATGGTGGGAGTCTCAGGCCCTGGGGGCTTGGGTGACAAGGCCAAGGGAATTCCTTCACTGTCAATGTGGCTGAAGAAGGGCATCTCTAAGGTTCCTTCCAATGTACAGATGGCTTGAAATATAAGTGACAGCTGCCCCATATCCTGTGGAGGGAATCAGGCTCTAAGGAAGAGGCAAACAAATAGTAAAGAAGTTAAGGGTGACAGGCAACAATTCTCTGATTAGTGTCTCATGCTAGTGACCCCATCAAAACAATACTAATACTAAAATAAAAACTAAAAGTCTTTTGACTGTAACCCCAAATAGCCCTAAACTTTGTTTCTGCCAGTGTCTTCTACTCTGTAAGCCAATTTTTCTTCAAGCACTTCTCCCTTGTATCTGGTGGGAGATGGTGGCATTTTTTTGTAGTTGTTGCCCTGAAGAAAACTGACTTCTCTGCAGAATTTGGTTTTTCCCTGGAAGCAAGGCAAGGAACACTGAAAAGCTGATAGAGCAATGGGAATAACAAAAGTACACAGCCTACTTGGGCACAAAGCACACTGCCGAGGCTTCATAACTATAATCATAAACTTGCAGTGCTACTATAAATACAGAACAAACCAGAGTGACTCATCTGCCGGAATAATGTTCAGACAGCCAGAGCTGTGCTGCTTTGGGTGGAGATCCAAAGACTAACTGCTCTTTCTCTTTCTTCTTCGTTTTTAAGTGAGTACAGAACATTAGACTTAATTCTTCCTCTTAAAAAGATCCCTCCTCGCTGTCTGTGATATTATTCATCTGATTTCTCTGACAGAATGCTTCTCTTTGCCTTTTAACACAAATCTGCTACAGAAAACATGTCAAACTTTTTCTTAAACATTTTGCAAATACTCACTGAAGTTCCAGACGCAAGTCTTTCTTACCAAGTACAGACCAGCCTGTGCTTCTTGCCTGGGGCAGCGGAGAGTCCCCAGGTGCTCAGGGAAGCCAAAGGCCTTGAAGCCCCAGGAAAAATAAGCTTTACACCTGCAGGAAAAGGCCCTCCACCTAAGTGAGGGCGTGGGGCTCACTGGTTTGCCAACCACCTGTCCTACTTGCAAATTACAGCCACTAACTAGAGTTCCCAAGTGGTCTATTGTCAGTGCACCTGGCAAAACCTCAGCAAGGAATGCTGTCTTTGTATCACCACTGTGTGCTACTTTTAACATTTAGTTGCAAAATCATGAAGTGCTTCAGGAAGACATTTTACATGGTTTCATAGAGAAGTTTCAAAGAGAATCAGCAGGCATTGTGTACGGTGAACAGGGTTAGAACTCACTGAAGTGAACAAGGCCTGTGGAAGTAATGCCTAAATATTTTATTTTTATGAACTTAGATGTAAACAACCTTATGGAGCTGGTGGCTCCTCTAATATACTGCAGAGATCTAGATGAGCTACCATTCCATGTGACTGAAGACAAAGGAGGAAAGGCTGATGTAGGACATGCAGTCAGGCTTCTCTGAAACCTCAGACCGTTCTCCAGACCTTTTCCTTTCACCAAACAAAGCCCTATCTGTGAAGATAAAGGCTGTTTAGTGCCTCTGGCCTGGAAGAACCTGAAGGCAACCCTGCCTAATCTGTTTCTATGTTCTCCCTTCCACGACCAGCAAAGGGTGCATAAAGTACGTTGCCAAGTCTCAGGGAAAATGGAGCCCCTTAAAGCATTTACACGTACTGAACTAATGCATCGTTCCCTAGGGGTACCGATTGCAGGATGAGACTTCAGAGGGTGCTGCCCCACAAGGGCTCTTGGAGGCTGTCAACCCATCCCTGGTGCCGCTGCCACTGCCCAACAGCTGAAGGAGAGGTGGCAAGTACTCCAACTGCAGATCAGGCGATGATGCCTGACTTACACTTGGCTTTTGAGAAATGCCCTTTCTTTTTGTAGATATTGTGGGAGTTCACATCCCTTTCAACGAATAAGAGAATAAACATCTCAGGCTAGGTGAGTGTTGTCAACAGCATTTTCTGCACTGATGGGAATGGACTACATCTGTGCCCATGTGGCAGCCACCACCTGTGGCTTAACAGAGCACCTAAAATGTGGCATGTGTGACTGAGGAATGTGATGCTTACATTTTAACTGATTTTTTTTTGGTACTGAGGATCGAACTCAGGCCCTTGCGTTTGTAAGGCAGGCACCGGAACCACTGAGCTAAATCCCCAGCCCTCATTTTAACTGATTTTATGGCTTAAATCTGCACAGCGGCCCATGGCTGGTGGCTACTGTATGAGACAGTGAAGGTCTAGGTGTGCTATGATCCCATGCTGGGTTGGCAAACCACATAGGAGGTACTGGGCCAAATGAGTATGTTTCCCTGAGCCTTTAGGAAGTTCCCTAAACCCTCTTGTCCTTTGGCCATTGTCCAAAGTGACAGAGCCCAGTGTCCATGGAAGACTCAAACTCGATGTGCGTCCAGTACTCCAGCACTTCATTTCCCTGTCTGCAAAGCCACAGGGTTACCCAAAGAAGCTCACACTCATCCACTGAGCCTCCATGATGGGGCAGCAGGCAGCAGGCCGAGGTGTGAGAGAGCGATCATTTCAACAAAAGCACCATCCACACAGGTCACAAGGGATTACTGAACCAGAGAAATAAGAATACAGATAAGCTAAAGACTGAGTTGTCTGTGGGCAAGGAGCAACACCACATGCAAGGGCAGAACTGTCATTCACCTGTGAATGCTGAGCAAGGCAGAGTGCGCTTAGTGCTTCAAGCCTAACAGCTACGTGGTAAATATGTACAGATTTAAGTGCCTGCTTGCTAATCATTTGCTCTTGGGGGAGGCATTACATTTCCAGATTTGGGCCACAGTTTGGGATTTAACAGGATGGCTACCCAATGACCAAGGCTGGCTTCCTAACAGTTTATCTTTTCATATCATACATCATCTTAAAATGTCACATAACTTATGACCTATCTCTTACTTCCTTCAGAAAATGATTTGAGATTGCCTACTCTAAAACATGTCTTTGGTTTCTAAAATGTATGTATGTGTGAATCAAACAATGAAGGAAAGAAAGAAAATGAAGAGACTGAGGGCTGGGCTGAAAGAAATGAATGCAAGGGAGCATAACATGTGGCTCTGAGCTCCCTGGCAATCAAGGCACAAAGGAAAGTAATGGATGGGCTGTTACTGAGTAACAAAGGACTCAGTTAGTGTTTCAGAAGAGAAGTATTTTTCCTTTGCATTGAAGAGTGGGAGAATTTGCCACATTAAGAAGAGAAGCTGGGTATGGTCGTGCACACCTGTAATCCCAGCACTCGAGAGGCTGAGGCAGGAGGATCGCTGTGAATTCGAGACCAGCCTGGGCTACATAGTGAGTTCCAGGTCAGTCTCAACTACATAGTGAGACCCTGTTTAAAAAAGAAAAACGAAGAAGAAGAAGAGATAGGGACATAGAAAGATTTAGAAGAAACTATCATTAAAGAAAACCAAAACCCAAGGGCATATTCTTGTTCTGAGAAGGCTTTTAGAAGTAAGGATAATAGAGTGAAGCACTGACAATCTAGAGAAATCATAGCTCACAGGCTCCTAGAGTCAGAATGACTGGGACTGGGCTCTGCTGGTGAACTGGAGAGGAGACTACAAGAGATAACGGGAACCTGGAGAGTAGGTCTCCATCACAGACAAAAAGCAGTGCAATGCTGGCCTCCTGCGTGGACAGGCGGTGTGACTGGCGCTCTTACCTTTGGGAGCTGGCTACAGGCACCAGCTTTTGACCCCTCTCAAAAGACCATCTGGGCCTGAGCAAATTCCTCAACAGTCAAATTGCAGATACACAGCAAGAAAAGAAGCACAAGATTCTTACTCTCGGTGTGGGCTGCGGTTCTGTGAAACTTCGGAATCACTGTCTTTGGGGGACAGGGAGCCCTTGTAGGTGTAAAACACATCCTCGGTCTCTGTAATGTATGTCATCTCATTTGCGAGGTTATCTGCAGAGGAGTGGCGGGGTTTTCGGATCTCATGTCGGAGCCGAGGACTTCGCCTGGGTGGGTAGAGGCAGGGTGAGAATGCTGAAACCAAATTCCCTGTGGGAGTGTGACCAGAAGTCACTGATCTCACTCTGGCCTGGCCTCTCCGAGGGTGCCTTGGCTGTTATCTTTAGAAAATCAGAGCCAGACAGCTTGCTCCTGCACCACAGAATTCACCCAGGGTGATACAGATCTCTCCAACAGCCCGGTGGAGTGGCCCCAGAACTGTGATCTCAGCCCTACAAGTAGGTACAAAGAGACTGGCATAAGTGCTTTGGCCAATGGATGCTGATCCAGGGTGAGTTCTGGAGCTCTCAAGACATTAGCAGAGCATTCTGAATGTTCATCAGACTATTCTTACCGGTTTGAACAATGTACATGAAAAGTTCAGAAGTCAAAGATTTTTATCTTGGCAAACCTCAAACCTTATTTCAGCTACATCCACCCATCCATGTGAATTCCACCTGATCCTAGAGGAAATGTTTACTCTTTTAACTACATTCCTTAGTAAACCCATGTCATGCGATGGGCACCTGAATGCCACCTCATTCTCCAATAGCAATAGCCAAGCGACTATCACCTGTCTGGACCTCAAACACGCTTACAGCTCCTGAGAATGAACAAAATGAGGTAATGTTTCTCAGCACTGGGATGAGGGTCTACAGTGGGTGGTCCTTGGTGCTCTATTTTTCCTCAAAGATTTCCCATCTTGCCTTTCTCTGTTATTCACTTCTCCTTGGGACTGTCAGGACCTCCATGACATGCAATCTCCCCGAACCTGGATAATCTATAATACTGTGTTCAGTGTAGAAGAGAAAAGACTTTGTGATTCTACTGGAAGAGGATCTACAGCTAGCAGCAAGAGCTTCAAGCTACAAGTGTGATAACACCCAACTCTGTCAAGGATAGTTTCTTCTAAATCCCTCCATGTCCCTGTCTCCTTTCTTAATATGACAGATTCTCCTCTTTTCTCAAGGCCTGGGAAAAATGTGTCTCTTCTGAAAGATTGGCTTGAAAAAAATGACTGCCTTGAGTCCTTGTTATTCAATAACAGCTTACCAATAATTAGTTTCCTCTTTGGGTTGGATCCCATATGGGGCTCTCTCTGGGTCCTTGGCATTACTATCTAAGAGATTTCCAGATAAAGGAAGCTACTACTACATAGCATAAATTTAATTCTTTAGGTAAGGAGTCTACATCTTGAAAAACAAGAGACAAGTCTATTTATCATGTCCTGATTTCTGACACTGATGGCTAAAGAAGCTGAACTCTGGCCACCTGTACTGTCCTGAGAAGTGTCGGTTCAATTCATTTGGCCATTTATTAACTGGGCTTATTATTAGTTATTTTGTTTTGGTCTTAAGCCTACCTTTCTTTAAAGTCACCCTTATGATCCCTTGTGGAGCTGGGAGCAATGTTTTGCTGCTTGGTTTCCCCTTTGTTGACACCTGACCTTTTCAGAGGCATTCACATAAATAGGCTGATGCCTTTGGAGAACATTACTATTATTATTATTGTTATTGTTATTATTTTGGTACTGGGGATTGAACTCAGTACCTTTAACTTTCGAGGTAGGCAGCGGAACCACTGAGCCAAATCCCTGGCCCTGGAGAACATTACAATAAAATAACAATAATAAAAAAATTCTACCTGACCCTTTTAAAGTATGTTTGAACAACATTTGTACATTATTATTTTTGTAAACATTTTATAGATGGGAAAATCAATACCAGAGAGGGAAAGAAACGTGCTAACAGAAGAGCCAAAACCTGAGTTCATGATTTTCAGCTAAAAACCCAAACAGCACCATTCTTCTGTTTTCCCTTCCCTTTCTCTGCCTCTCTCTGTCCTCCTCCCCTCCACTTTCCTCCTTTTTCTTCCTCTCCCCTGCCCCTCTCTTTTCTCTTCCTCTGCACTGAGAATCAAACCCAGGGCCTTACACATGCAAACCAAGGACTCTGCCACTGAGCTACATCTACAGAGACCCACACACATACTTCCTTTTAAGCTGATCCGAGTTTGCATTTTTAAGAGAGTAGTGTCTCTCAGCGAGTGGTACAGAAGAGGACTCACCAGTTGGGGGTCACTGGAGGGGACCGGGAAGGCAGGCTCTTGGTTTCTAGATGTTCCACTGACAAGGACCTCCGCATGGCCGGGTTCCACACCATCCCTCCAATCAATTTTTTGCAGTATTGGTTATTTACAGACCTGAAAAACCACAAGTAGGTTCACTCTCCACACTGACATGTCCAACAAGAAAGAAACTGCACACACATGAACCACAGTCTCTCTACACGCTTTCCCTGACCATGGTTGTGCCTGCCAGGGCGAAGAGGGTTGGGGGAAGATTGGTCTCAAGAGTCCTTTCCATCCTATCTGTTCCTTATGTTATTTATTCTCTTTTGGTGAAAATGTTTTTGTGTAACTGAAATGTTTCTAGAATAAAACTAAACCTTACCACATTTGAAGGACTATTAGGTTAGCATAGAAAGAATGTGCAAGTAACTTCAAGGGATTCTCACTTTACTCACACTGGCACGAGTAAAAATATTAACCATCCTTTCAATGCTCTGGAAGCACTGTCACTCGGGCTGGCAGATGCCATCACTGTAAATCACTGGTCACTCTGACACAGAACCTGGGAATATACTCAGAAAGTATAGCTTCAGGTCATGTTCTTCGAATGTGCTACCCAGAAGTCTCCTGAATTTTGTTTATACCTAGAGAATTTAAGTCTTGGAGTTGAACTGTCTGAGAGAACAGTCTGAAGCCCGTTTAGGGTACCACCTTCAGTTCTGGTGTTTCAAATTTTAAACTATGCTCTAATGTCTTATGAAAACACTCCACACATTTCCTTGTGTTCTAAAACCAACCAACCAAACAACAAAAGTAAAACAGAATAAAGAACAAACAAAACTTGACTTCCCCCAGAGTATCATGGATTAATATGCAATAATAAATGGTACTGTCACCCTGACCAACATGTTCACAGAGGCAGCGCTAGGAGAACTTTTCTGCTGAAGTCATGCCACATCAGATACCACATGACTGTTGATTAAGGACACAGGATTTAAACACAGGGAGCAAGTGGCACGAGTCTAAGGTTTAATGTAGCAGATCTCCAAGCATGTGTCACAATTTATTAATAGGGACTCTGAGAAAAAGTGTTCCATTGTCCCATAAGCTTAGAAAATACTGACTTGGAAACTTTGCTAGGGCCACAAATGTGTGGCTGTGTCTCTGTGGGTGGACAAATCATGTGCAGTCTCTAAGCCTCAGTTTCTTCATCTATAAAATAAGTAGAAGTAATGAAATGATAACTGCAATTCACAATATTTTGATGCTAGTGCCCCCAACTCACCCTCATGCCCCAAGAGAGCCCCTGTAGCAAAGATGGCTACTAATTCACAGACTCCTAATTCAGGGCTGTCGGTGCCTGCTTTAATTAACAGAAGCATTGTGCCACTTTTGGGCTTCACACTTAGGATGGCTGGGTCTGCCTTTGGCTCTTGGAGCCCTGAACCTCCATGGAGGAAATTCACCTACTCTGCTGAAGAGCCCACCTGGAGTCCAGAGGCAGGGAGCCCAGCTATGTCAATTGTTCCTCCAAAACACCAGGCATGAGAGAGAAACTGTCTTGGACCCTCCAGACCAGTCCAGCCACCACATGCATATCACAAAATCTTGTCAATACATGCAGTAGAAGAGTCATCTGGACAAGCCCGTCCTGATCTCCGGACCTACAACATCTTAAAATGCAATAGAGTGGTGGTACTTTAAGCCATTAGGGTTCATCTGTTAGGCCACAAGTGGTGACTAGAACCAGCCTCCTGCACTGGCTACAGAGAAGGAAGTTTTGTAGCTATGGAAATTCAAGCCACAGAGGAAGGGTTTGAGCCTGGTAGCTGTGCACTGGATGTAACCTTGCATCTGGCCTAGGGGCATAGGTCCCAACCTAAGTTAAGACTGCATTCCAAGAGACTTACTTGGAAGGAAATTGCTCCATTTTAACTAATAAACAAGCAGTAACCTCACAACAGCTGGTTTAAAAAGGCTGCACAAACATGAGCCCACCCCCCATTCTCTACTATCTGGGTGAACTTCTATCGTGAGGTCGCTCTCTTTCACTGCCACTAGTAATGGAGGAGGACTAGTGGTTTTACACCATATAGTGTTACTCTCAATTATATTTTTATACTAAAGTAAATTGGTCATGCAGCCAGTATTCCATGTCTTCAATCTGAACTCCTTGATTAGACAAATCATCAGCAAGTCTGCACTATCTCAGCACCTCACTGTCACCCTGGTTCTGGGCACACTCCAAAAACTGTTTCATCTCATAGGAGCGTGGGCCACTAAACTGCTGCCTCCCTCCACTGTGGCAGCTGGGTTCCCTGAGTCTCCTGGAAAGTGATGTCAGGTCTTGAGGGATAAGCATCATTCTGTCCACCAAAGTCTCAAAGATGCATGACCCAGTGCATGCAAGAGCCCACAGACACACCAATAGAAGTGGCCGCTACTTAGGCCATCAAACCTGGCTGGCAGGACGTAGCAGTAGGTGAGGCCACTGCAGATGGTGGGCTGCTGCTGCTGTTTGGGCACAGCTCTCCTCCAAGAGGCCATGGGAAGCTTGGGCTTGCATGTGTCATCGTGAGTGTACAATGCCTGTTATCTAGAAACTTCTCCAAAAATAATTCTCATGACCTATTCAGTCATAGCTACTGAATACAACAAAATACTGGATAGTACCGCAAAAACTAAAAACTGCAAAAATAGATTTGTTCCTGGTTCATCAGAAACTGAAAGGGAACATTAGCATCACAAACAGCATCACTCATACTAAAAGAAATTTGCCACCTGTTGAATCCATAAATTATCTAATGACTATCATGTACTAGCAAAGCCATTCCTATTACAGAACAGTCTGAAGCAGTTTCACACACCAGACAATGGGTCAGACATGAGCCTGGTTAGTAACAACCACACTGATGACAACAAATCACAAAATCAATCATGAAAAACCAACAAATGCTTTAGATATTCTAAGAGTAACTTGATAAACAATTTCTGCTACCTCTTATATTCAGAAGGCAGCCTTAGAACAAAGAAATAAAACAAAATTATAAATGCTATGGTTATTTTAGAGTCTAAATAAATTTTAACCTAAATTAAAATCTAAAAATATACATATGAATCACACATACAAATTTATACAAACTCCTTTTACAGTTACTCGTCACTAAATATTCTGAATGTCATTCCTACGGACAACAGTACTTATATGATAGCTGTAAGAACTAAATATAATTTAGTACAAAGTAAATACTAGGTCACTGTCAACTACAGTTATTAATATTTTACAATTATTACAGGTAATGCATCCCAATGTCACGTGATTCAAGAAACCTTTATTTCTATTCATTCTGCTTTTATAGAACATCTTATGAGATTAATGCTCTGTGGGTGAGGCTGGTCTATTGGCAGCAGACTGGAAAGCCCTAAGGCTGGCACCAGAAGGACACTCAGAGTCCTTTGCTGCCAGGGTGTGGGGGCAGCTGTGACTCTGTTTAACAGGAACTCCAAGGATAGGAGAGTTGAGGGGACAGAAGCCAATGCTGGAAATGTGAGGTGTACCTGGGGATGCACAGACTGTTTCTCCTGGAGGGACTCAGTCACAGTTTCAGGGACCTAAAGTCTAGGAACCCTGGGCCACAGCATTCCCTCCTTTGCCAAAGATGTCCACTTCCCAGTGGTGACCAGACCAATGGCATCTCAGTTTAATGTGTACATTTTCCCTAAAGCATACTCACTTTTTGGGGTTCCTGGAGCCCAGGGTCCAGTACTGAGATAGAACATTCTTTTCTTGAGGTAGTAACTTCTTTGCCTGAAAGAAGGTATGGTGCTCAACACAAGATTTCCACAAATTTTTGCAAGATCTGTAATTTAGCATGTTGAAGGCCACGATATGTTCCCTGGATTCAGGCTGCAAGGAAAAACAACAATGATTTCACTGCAAAGATGTAGGAGAAAGTTCCAGCAAGCACTGTACTCACACTGATGGCAACGAGATAAGAGGCAACAGACAGCAGAAAGCAGGCCTTGGCCATGACCCAAGTGCTACAGGAATACTACAGAGCAGGGCTGTTAAATCTCTTTACAAGTGTGGCAATAAAGATGACCAGAAATACTCCTCCTCATCACTTGTGGTCCTTTACGAGCATTCTTGTTTCAAATCTGCTTACATCTAGAGGTTGGGTATATCTGGAGTAACATCTAATACAATACCCCCCACCTTTTTTTTTTTTTGGCACTGGGGATCGAACTCAGGTCCTTGTGCCTGCGAGGCAGGCACCAGAACCACTGAGAGAAATACCCGGTCCTACAATCCTTTTAGAATTTAGGTCTGAGAACATCTTTTTTCTAAAGAAATATTTTTTTCAACTTCTAGACAAAAACAATTTTATAACTTTGGGGATTTCTCCATTTGCTTCCCACAGAGCACGGGGTGAAATCTAGTGCTAATGTTTAATAAGAATTTTTTCAGTTTTTATTTTTTATTAGTAAATGTTTGAAGTAATGATTATATTCCTTGTAGAGAGCTGGTACAAGTACATAACACATCTCAATTTTTTTATCCCCTTTCCTTCCCCCTCTTGATCTCCTTCTCATTTGAAAAAGATCTATCTTCCTATTTCCTAGTATCTATTTTTTATTTTACTCTATATTCATATTTTGGGTTTTTCAGATAAGAGAAACCAGGTGATATTTAAGCGTGTGTCTGATTTATTTCACTTAACATTATGGTTTCAAGGTGTATGTATGTATATTCCTCAAAAAACTATTATGAACATTTTTATCACTGGTTTTTGTTTTCATTTTACATGGGTTTAGGTTTTCTGATTTCTTATGCATTTTTGTGCTACCTTGAATCTGCTCTAGGGGAGTCAGGTGGCCCAGATTGTACAGCTTGCTTGCTCTGAGGTTTTTTTGTTTTGGTACTAGGGATTGAACTTGGGACCTTGCACTTGCGAGGCAGGTGGCGGTACCACTGAGCTAAATCCCCAGCCGACTTCCTCTGAGTTTTAATGTTCTCATTTCTAAGGGTTCATTGCTATATGGAGACCCACTTTTCTTTTTGGTACTGGTGAATGAATCCAAGTACCCTGCACTGAGCCACATTCCCCAGCCCTTTGAGACAGGTTCTTGCTAAGTTGCCAAGGCTGGGGTCAAACTTGGAATTCTTGTTCAGCCTTCCAGAGTGCTGGATGCAGTGCCATTTCAAGGACATATAATCCTTGAAAGACTGGGAAATGGACATAGTGATAGTAAGTGACAGATATGCAGCTTAAGACAGTATGGTGTTGAAAGAGCAAGTTCTTGGGTTCCTAATGATCAAATTCCAACCTGGCCACCTCCATTAGCTGTGGGAGCTCCAGCTTCCTCACTCTGAATCTACCTCTGTGGCAAAGTAAACTGAGTCTAAATGCTGACAACTCCTCTCGGGAGACAGATATAAGTCATTCATGCATTAAACACATCAAGAGAAGGAAGTGGCCTGTGGCTATTTCTTGCCACTCTACATGGGCTCTGCTGTGTGCTCTGACCATGCCGTTTTATTTAATCCCCACTGTTCCCTGAGGAACAAAATGAATTTTACTGAATTTCTGGAAACAAACTCCAAGCAGAGGAAATTATGCAATCTGCCCAGCTGGTAAGGGAAGAGCCAGGTTCTGAACTGATCCTCTCTGACTGAGAAGCGAGTTCCTTTTCTTATCAGAGCTGCATGACTTACACGGGAACTGCGGGACCCTCTACACCCTGTCACTGGTGGTGGTGGTGACCCCGAAAACACTGTGCAGTGCTCTTTCATCCCTGTTATAGATGGCTAATTACCTCCAACCCCTGAAGAACTAAGAGCCGAAGTGAATTCAAAACACAAGAAACAAAGCAAGTGTGGATGAAACTCACCTGTTTTTGTCGCTGATGTATAAAGAATTTTTTCCTTTTGAAAGAAATCTTGAGGATATTCACCCTGTAAACAATAAAAGAGCACAAACAAAAAACAAAAACTAAACCAAAATACAAAGAAATCACAGACATCAGGGATCAGCCTGTGTCCTCTACTCCACGGTCCTGGTGACTGGGAGCCTGCGGACGCTTGGAGATGCTGCCAGCCCCATCGCCTTGGCTGCACACAGGAGCCGGCTGAGCTGGTCTCACACGAGGCCTCTGGACTGTGACGTAGCCTTTAAATAACAAGAAGCTGGGCCATGTGCTATCTTTGCTGTAAGCTTCCTCTGTGACACTGGCGCCTGCGGGAGCTGGAGCACACGTGGGGAAGACAGCTGAGGGCAGTGTGGAGCAGCAGAAGGAAGTCAGGCCTGGGTCGGCACAAACTCCATCACTTAACAGCCAAGTGCCAAGGAGCCTCTTAACCAAGTGCATACTTCAGAATCACAGCCACCATTAATGGAGTATATTTTTACACACCAGGCCACTATGAAATGCTTTACAAATATCCTCTCCATAAAGTCTTCCTACAACCCCGAAAAGTACATTGTTACGCTGTACCTCATTTTCAGATGAGGAAACAGGCCGAGTCAGGTCTGAGCCTGACTCCAAAACCTATGCTCTTAGTCCTTCATTCTGAAGTTTGAACAGTGGAATCACAGTGCCTTTCTTGCAAAGTTCTGCAGGGATCTGAGGGGTTAAGTATAGGAAGTCCTTAGCATGATGCTCAACACATGGTAGGCCCTCAGCGCTTGCTCTTTCCATTAAAATTAGTTAACAAGTTTACTTTTTAAGTCAATTTCATTGATTTACACCAAGCTACTGTAATCCACGCAAAGGAGGTGTATTTCCCCACTAGATTCTTCTGCACACTTAGGGGGAATAAAGGAAGTCCACTGTTCTCTAGAGTCATATTAAGACTTTAGTAGAACATTCCAGAACAGAGAGGGAATGCCCACTCATGTAACATTTCCCAGCTGGATCAGATTAGACACCCCCTTGTTCTGTTGTCTCTGGAACCCCACAAGGAACTCCTGTTTTGCAGAAGTCAGGAGAACTAACTTATCAGCTTCTGAATTCTTTACCTGGCTCAACCTATGGGAAGCAGTGGACCTCTTGCTGCCTCGTCAGCTTTACACACAAGGTCCCTGTTAGACACTGAAGGTTCAGAGAGCTCCTGCTCACTGCCCCTCCTTCCCATGGAGGCCCCAATTGCTGTACTTGATAGTTCTCTGTCCTAGAGCAAATTTGATGAAGTATAAACATTATTGATGACCCTCCAGGGGCTCCCTACTGCCCTCTACCCTTTCATAAGAAAGAAACAATGTACAGAGTGTCTTCGTGTACTGAGTCCTGTGCCTGTACAAGCCTGTGGGAGACAAGGAGCAAGACAGAGCACACTGCTGCCTAGGACATAACTTAAGGAGAGAGGTGGGTAACAAATAAACAGTGATGCACAGAGCTGCATCACTGACAAGTGTGCCCGCCGAACACATGACAGCGCAGCATCTCACAGAGAACCAATGATGGAGCCTCTGCTCCTGTAGCCTGGGAGGCTCCCTGTGGCCAGGCCTCTCTCCTGCTACTCCCCATGTTTACACCACATGCCAGCCCGGCCCACTCACCTCCTTTACTCACCACCTCACTCTCTTGTCTCTAGAACCCACACCCCACACCTTCTCTCTGTAGTTTATTCCCTCGGATTGAAGCCTGTGCCGTTTAGGGCTTACCCGTGCGGGCTCAGCGTCCTTCTTCGCACACCCTGCCCTTCCACTTACCCTGCACCTAGCTTATGCTAAGATCACCATTCAGTGCTGGCCTCCCCACTGGTCTGAGGCTTATACCAGAGGCAAAGCCAGACCTGGAAAAGAACCAACTTACAGCTGAAAGGTGGGGAAGAGAATGGTAGCCTGCAGATGGGTGTAGTGGCCAAGGGGTGTCACGGGTCCTATGGGTTTTGCCCAAAAGGCCGCTGTTTACAAACCTCCTTCTCAGGACCAAGTTGCCCTCTTCCCTTTGAAGTGTCCTTATAGGATTCACATCTTTCTTGATATGTGATGGTCTGGGGCCTGGTTGTGGGGCTGAGGGGGCTCAACTACAGACAGAGCTGAGCCCAGGTGCCTTCCAGCCCATAGCATCTGCAGGAAGCCCCCAGGACCCAGAGGGCCTTGTGGAGGGAAATGAGCCCTGTGCCCACTGTGTGATCCTGAGAGGCCAGAGAGCTGCTCAGGCCATGCAGCAGCTGAGGTGTCCTGCTTCCTGCAGGGCCTGTCATGATACCAGGGAAAAGAACAAGGGAGAAGAGATCCTGTTGTCTGTATATTGACTTTATTCAGAAGTGGAATAGGGCTCTGAGGTGTTTATTTTGGAAGACAGATATATTGTCAAATTAATTGAAAAACATCAGTGCCTCTATGTCTGCATCCTATTTAAGTGTTACCCCACAAATACAATTCTTAGTAATGGAATAAGAGTACAGGCACCAGAGCTTGACTCTAGTTGTGGATTTCGACCACACTGATCATTAGCCTGTGATTACGCATAAGTTCTTACTGACCCTCTTCGTTCCTCAGTTTCCTCCTCTGAAACTAATGATAATAAATATGCCTTTTACAGGTTTAAATGAGATAAATCAAATAAAATATGTAGTAATGTGACCTAGACACCACAAGTATTCCCTAATGATAGCTGCTATGATGATTTTTACCTCTATGACTAAGTTTACTTATAGGGCTTTTTCCTGTTATGAATAAGGCTGTGATGAACACCTTTAAATCCCAATTTATGAGGGTCCACACGGTCAATTCAAGGAACAGATGCAGACCTAAGCATCAAATTCAGCATGACACTCATCTGGTTCCCCACTCTCCTACTCCTTCACCCTAACATCCTGCCTTGCAGCCCCTTTTCTTTATGATGTTTCTGCCTCTCTGCTGCCTGCAATGTTCATTCTCTTCAGCCACCCGGGTGAATCTGCCCTACCCCCACTCTGCATGAAAGCTGGTTTATTTTGGTAGTGAGTGTTTCCCTTGAGAAAAGTTCTGCAAAAGGAGGTTAAAGCCAGGGTCTTCACCCTTGTCTCCAAGACCTACTTCATGCTTTTTATCTACCATGTTTCCAAGGAGTATCCCAAACCAAAGGGCAACTGCAGGAGGGAATGTTAATAAAAAAAAAACAAATTTTCCCAAGTACTAAAGGTCAGAGGTCAAAACTTTGGGTGAGGGGATTTCTATTTCTTCTTTAGAAACAAAAATTTAAAATTAGAGGTAACATTATTCTTGTTCAGCATATTTTTAAAGCATGATTCAGACAATAATTAGAACTGTTTGCACTCACCAAGGATAGAAACTTGTGCAAATGTATTTTCGGTATACAGCAATGCCCGCAGAAGCAATTCCAATCATTAGATCTAAATTGTGCAGATCCTGTAAAAAGGAAAATCTCATATTCAGAGTGTGTTACAGTCAGGTCTATGCCCTCTGGTAACTTTAAAACACCCTTGCTTTTATAAATAGCATCATGTATAAGTTCCAAAGAGGAAAGTGTTACTGAACACAGGCAGAAGTCTTCAGTTAACAGCAACTTAAATCCAAGTACTCAGCACTATATTCTTCTAAACTGAACACATATACCGTGTGATCCTGGGATCACACACACAAACACACATGCATGCACACACACACAAAGCCTGTCAGAAAACCTGGTTTAGAAAGTTGCCAGATAACCCACGCATTCTACAAAAATCAGTAAATAGACACTGAGTTTTAAACACTCAACACTTAGCACCTGATAGCCATATTAAAATCAGAAAGGCCTCTTCCCTGCATAGCTTTGTACAAACCTCAACTTCCATTACTGAAAAGGCTGTAGCTATTATGATATGAGGATGAAAAATCACAAGTACAGAACTGACCTTAAATTCAATTAAGAGGTAACTGTTGCACTATGCCTACTATTTACTAAGAGTCTATATGCTAGGCATTGCTGTAGACACTGAAGACACAGGCTTTTAAATCCACTTAAGTATAAGCAAATAAAATTTAAAAATAAATCAGTTCTTTCCTTGAGTCACATACATTTCTGTTTTACAGTCAGATGCTTGCACTTACAAAGGGACTGAGTTTGAGCTAGTTACAACTGTGAGCCTTTGGTCTGCCACTTATCAACTTATGTAGCTCTGGGATCAGAAGAGCCTCAAGTTTTTTCTTTTCGCAAAGTAAAGATTATAGAACCTATACTGAAGGGTTATCAGGCTGAAATTAAGAGACTATAAGAATCTAGATCAGAGCTTGGTATATGGAGTTTCTAGAATAGGGTCTAGTGTGTAGGTGGAACAATAAATGTTCGTTCCCTGTTGCTGTGGGACTAACCATTTATGAGCAGCAATACGAACAAGGGAAGTTAGAGAAACTGGATGGGGAAAGTGTTGACATGGGAGGAAGTCCACAGAGATCCATGACAGGAACCCAACTGAAATCATGTGCTTAAAGCAAAGCCAGATTGGCACAGTGCAAAACAGGGCTGCCTTTAAACATGACACCTGCAATCATAGTACAAGGAAAGAACAAATCAGCAAATGAAACAAAAACTGGGTGAATATGGGTATAAACGAACGGTTTCATGGGCCAAGGACTGGGTCTCAAGCCTACTAATTCTATGATTTGCTAATCTCTACTAGCCAGCTAATCCCCTGACCCCTGGAGGGCCATTTCACCGACAGTCCTGAAGGCGGAGAAGGCACAGATCAACTCAGGCAGGCACAAAGTCTCATTTCACTGTTGTATATTAAGGTTCTCTAAAGCATTCTACCGGAGAGCAAATATTTGCAAATGGAATAAAAACAGTGGAATCCTCAAGTTGGCATTTTGTATGAGTCAATACATTTTTCCTGCTTTATTACCGACACTGTACCACAGGACTGTTATGATACTGAAGTGAGACAAACATGAAAGAGTTTCTATGAACTGCAAAAACATTATCTAGATTTAAAGTCTGTACATTTATTCAACTTCCACGGCCTTGGTTTTTCACTTGTGAAATGGAAATGATTAGAATACCAATTGGGCAAGGTTTCTATGACTTCCTACGAAAGCCCCTGGAACAAGGCTAGTACTTGGTGTTCAAATGATGTTTGCTCCCTTTGGGTCTGACGAGGGCCAGTGACTGACAGAAGATGCTGGTAGGTCACTGCAGAAGGTCAGGCACAATTAGACAATGCGGGACCGCACGTGTACTTAAGTTACCACTTAAGTGCTGTGTGACTTCCATCAAGTCCCTGAGTATGGGCTTATCCATCTGTAAAATGGGGCTAATGATAATATGTAGCTTGTGGCATTACCAGCAGTCTATGCTGGTATTACTACATAGAGTCACATAGAAATTTTCTCAGTACCTATTAGGTATACTTTGCATCTTGTCTTTTTAGAAACAGGGACAGATATTAATGCTAATACACCAGTCACAACCAATTTAACTATTTATTGTTTTTCACAATCATACCACCATTTTCTTTTTCTTCTTTTTTGGTGGTACTGAGGATCAAACTGAGATGCTCTATAGAGGAGCTGCATCTCCAGACTTTTTTTTTTTAAACTTTTGAGATAGTGTTTCACTAAGTTACCCAGCCTGGCCTGGAACTCAAGACCCTCCTGCCTCAGCTTCCCAAGTAGCCAGGATTACATATGTATGTCACTATGCCTAGCCAGCATCATTTTTGTTAAACTACCATATCTGAGTAACTAACTCTAAAATGAGCACTATTTGAGATTAAAGAATAAAAACACTGTCTCACTAAACTGCCACTTGAAAAATGGATTTCTACACATTTTTTGCCTGTTTAGCCATACTATCTTAGTCTTAGAAAAATTACAAGTTTCTAGATCTCTGACCTCTTAAAAAGAAAGTCTTTCAAGCACAATGCCAAAGGTGAAAAAAGCAACTGGATAAGTGACCAACAAAATTCACTATTAGTTAAACTTTCCAAATACTTTTTAAAAGACATTGTGTTTTATAATGGGAAAGAAATAGCATCATCAAAGTTTTCAAACTTTTACAATTTAAAATTTTTTTTAAATCTTGGACTGAAAGACGGCAAGGATACATACTCTACCACCATGCAGCTCCACTCCATAGAAGTCGAGAGTCCGAGCTATGTTGATGTAGCATGATTCGGCTTCTGATTGCTTTAGCCCACTGTGGAAGAAAAGACAAGATGCAAAGCACACCTAATAAATAACACTAACACCAACATTTAAACATTAAAAAAATATATAGAGAGAATTTGACCACATTCCCCTAAGGTTACTAAAATGCTTTATGTTACTTCTCTTAAGCAATCTACCCCTAAATTTTAGTGTAACAGGTTTTTCTTCTTGTTCACTGAATTTGAAATCATCGAACCCCTTTGCTCTTTACTCAGCAATTGTTCCCACTTAGTGGGCTCTCAATCTTCAGTGGAGAAGACTGTCACCTTTCATGGCTCCTACCCCCGTCATTCCAAATCGCTCGATTAACAGGTAATCTTTAGGTCTTACTGCTTTTGTCTATTCTTTCTGCAGTGGCACAAACTTCAAACACCACTGGCCCTGTCCTATTTTAGGATACTGACTTCTGCCAGAGGAGTAATTCTGGGAGAGAGAGTTGGCAGTGCCTTCTTAGAGGATACATTGGTTGCTTGCCCTTTGTTTTTATGGCCTTCCCAAGAAGTGAGCAGTCCCCGGAGAGCTGGCCTCTGGGTTAGTGCGGCCCTCATCTGACACAAACTGAACAGCTGTCACAATAGTTTTGAGTCAGATGGGAAAGGGAAGAGAAGGCAGGAGCTGGGCACAGTTGTTGGAGATAAGGCTTGTCTGGGGCAGCTGCAGAAGACTGGTACTCCCTATGTGGAAAGAAAGCAGTTTTCACCAACTGAACCCAGGAGGTGCAGGGGTGCACACAGCCCTTTGGACTGCCTGTCCGGTTACCTGTTTCCTCAGCAACACCTTAAGGACTGGCTTGCTTTATTAAATGTGGTAAACTGCTAAAAAGTTTACCTGGTAGGGTCAATTTGTGGGGCAATCAGATTTCAAAGTAGGCCTTTCCTTCAGGAATTAACCAATTTCAATGACACCCTGAAAAGGAAAACAGCAGCCAGCTCTCTCAGTTCTACTGAATTTTACACTTCATAGAAAAGCTAGTTATGCCAAATTAGCCCGCCACCACCACAGCTCAAAGGTTCAAAAGCCACCCCGACATCGTGAAAGAGGATCATGAGCAAAAGGAAGGAGAAGCCACATCAAACACAGGGGGCTGCGATGTCTGAAAATATGTGACTTGTGCTTCCAAAGCAGGTCACCTAAGACCCCTCACCTGTGCTGCTCATGGAGAGACTCCACCTTGGTCAAGAAGTCATCATTCTGATCTGGTATGAACCGGCTATCCGCAAGATAGCCTGGATGATGTACGGAAGAATTAAAGTCTCCACAATGAGCTGTTCAGACAGAAAGAGGGGAATATTGTAATGAGTTTTGCCTTTATTTGTTTTTAACATGGTTGGCGTTTACACGCGCCTACTGCACTGCAAGGAAAATATTAATTGGAAACACTCTTCACACATGTTCTGCCACCACAGGACTGCAGCTTCTCATCTGAACCTTCACTGAGAACTAAACACTACTGCATATGAACCACTCCCTGAGGACACCCAGCAGACATGGAGACAGTGCTGGAACCCAGGTTCCATACCTCTGGAGAAAACATACCAGGAAAAATGCCAGGCACTGTGTAGGCTCCTTCGCACACCAAGTTACTACAGCACCACACCAACTGCCTCTACAAACAATGGGTAGGGAGCTGGGTGTTGTGGTGTAGGCCTGTAATCCCAGCACCCTGGGAGGCTGAGGCAGGAGGATTTGTAGTTTAAGACCAGGAAGGGCAATTCAGCAAGATCCTTTCTTAAAATAAAATAAAGAAGAGGTAAGGGTATAGCTCAGTGGTAAAGTGCTTGTCTACCATGTGTGAGGTCCTGGATTAAGTCACAAGCACTGGAAAAAAAAGAAAATAGGGAGTAGAAAGGAGGTCATGCCAATCTGAACCACTCCCTGGGATTCAGGGAAGTGTACAAGAAAGGGAACTATCATGTGATCAGAGGTCCAAAGATAGGAGAGATGCTAGGATTGTCAGGGGAATCATGTGGGGGACCTGCAGATAAATGAAGAAGAGAAACATGAGAGGATTTCTAACTAATTCCAGGACCAAGCAGTACTTCTTCTTTGATCCCCTTGAGTGCCTGCTGTCTGTGGACATAAATTGTTGCTGTCTGTGACATGACAGGTATTCTTGAGAGTTGTGCAGTGCCCAACCTGCACAGGTATACACAAGTGCCCCAAGAACTCAAACAATTCGTGTTTAGACTACTGAGGGGACTGGGGAAAGGACCCTGGGCAGGACCAGGGGAATATCATCTTCCCTTCTCCAAGACACAGTTCTTCTATTGGTATAAGAATAGGAGTGAGAGGGTCTTGATCTTGGAGGGGTTCTTTCCTGTGGGGTAGAGGATTGAACCCTGGGCTTCCTGCATGCGAGGTAAGCCTCCTTCCAACTGGCCTGCATGTGCTTCCCTCCCTTGTGCTCTGGTGGGCAGCTGATCTCATATTCTATTTCCTTGACCAATAAAAATAGATTTTCGGTTTTTAAAAAAATTTTTTAACTTTGATCTTTCCAAGAGTTTTATTCAGTTTCTTTCTGTGGCTGGCTGCAATGCCAGGAGGCTTTTGAGGACACTCACGATAATAATTTCAGAGCACCAATTTAACAGATTTCCAACTCTGTTACCAGGACGAGTGAGGGGAAAGCCATTGATGCTCATGGCCAATCCCAGAAGGAAAGGAGATGCGCCCGCCACGTGGCTGCTTAGGTGAATTTCCTCACAAAGCCATGTCTGTCCACATCTACTCAGCCTTGTTCCCCTTGCCTGCCCTCACACTGCTTGTCTCTCAAATCCACACCACCACAGAGGGATCTGTTTCCTCCTCAACCTGTCTCTTGGGGGCTGAGAGTGGGTCACATTCATGGCACCCAGTAGGGGCTCAGGGACACAGATCCTCGGAACTTTCAGAGATGCTGATGGCAAAGCTCAGGTGTGGAAGGGGAAAGAGCAGGAAGCCCAATGATCTATGCAGACTCTGTCAAGGTTAGGCCGCATTCTGGAAGTGCAAGTACGGCAGATAAGTTTGTGTGTGATTCAGTATACAACAGTATGCTTATGGGGAAACACTGCGATGCCTTGACACACAGTACCCAAAAAGGAAAGAATCAGAATCACTGTTTAAACTCCTTATGTTAAAAGGGAAGAAATAGGCCCTAAGGAGTAGGGACTTACCCTTACCCCAGGGCCACTTTTTTATGTAGGGTCAAAACCAGAGCCCACAGGATCCTAGCCCTGTCAGTGCCCTACCACTCTGCCACCCTGTATGCCAGGCTGTGAGCTGCTGCTGGCCATTTGCTGATGTCCCCAAAGGCTAATCAAAGGCTGCGAATGACTTTCTTGAGCCAAAAGGCTGTTGGTTTGTTAGCTCATGAAGACCCTGCTGGATCCTAACTTGGTAATCCATCCTATTAGCAGTTCCAACCCTGCTGCCATTGCACAAACATGAACTTCAAGCTTTTCTCTTTAGCAAAGTAAAGTTTTGAACTTAACAGATAGCCAACAAACCTCTCTGCTCGGTGATTTTCCCTTGACATCTTAAGCAGCTATTCTGTGCAAAGCTCTCCTTGCCAACCACTAGGGGGAAACAAAGTTAAACCGCACAAATATTTGTAAAACACTGGATGGTTTGCACATTTATTTTAAGATACCATTCTACTTGATGCCTAAGATAAGCCAACAACAAGCAATGTTTTTATCTACATTAAAGAAGAAAACTGAGAAAAAATGGACCTGCCACTGCTGCTCAGCTGCTAACTGGAAATTTAACCTTGGACCACAGTCACTCTTCTCGTCTGCTTGCTAACTATTATGCAGCAAATTCCCCAGTTATACATTTCTTATTGCTGGGAAGCAATACAGGCAAATGTTAATTACAGCAGAAAAAAATAAGTACTCAGGTGGAAAGTCCCTTGAATTTTAAGTTTTATGATTTCTTTTGGCTGACTGATAATATGTTATGCAACAAAGTGAGAGTCTGCCCAGGTTTACAAAGTGTGGCATTGTAAGCTATCAAACGGTTCTTCTGGGGAATCCTTTATCTTCCCTTCTTCCAAATCCAACTTGATCTCAGAGGCTCTTATTGGTGGTCATTCCTAGTATGCTTTTCTAGACTCTCCTCAAACAGCATGGGGTGCAGCCTCTGTGCTTATATTATGGGGCCTTTGTCTGTCCCACTACCAAGGTGTAGAGCCCTTGGGGAGAATATCAAGCTTTCTCCATCCTGAGGTTGGTGCAGAGCCTCCATGTGACACTGGTTCAGAGAACATTACAGAATTCACACACATTCCCCAAAACCTTATTCTTTTTGTCTCATAAACCTTTGACAAGCCATGGGCAATCTTTCGCCATCACGTCTTTTTGGCTACTTTACCTAAAGATTATATATTTTTTTATGTAATGAGAAAATGTGCTTTTGGTTAGCAGATCCCTGTAGGATTCAAGTATTAAACATCCATCTCAGGAAAACGGAGCAAAGCTTATCAGATAAAATATCCAAATTAGGTGTGGGCATAGAGCTCAGTGGTGCTGCTGCCTGCCTCACAAGCAAAAGGACCTGAGTTCGACCCCCGGTACCAAAAGAAAAAAAAAATCCAAATTAGTTTTTGATCCAGGAATTTTGTATCCGAGAATTAATCTTATAGAACATATGCATCGAAGTACGCAAATGTATACATTTATTTACTGACAGTGGGGGACTATAAAAAGCTTGTACTTGAAACAGCTTGATAAACCAGGATTATACCAATATATTGATAATGCTAATATTTCCATTGACGCTAGTTTGCATTTTAGGTGCTAATAACTGTCTTAGCCATTTTAGCAGTCTTTTGCAGAGATCTGACTATAGGAACTTGGACGGACTGTTTTAAATACGCTTCCTAAACAGTTTATTATTCACAATATGACATTTTCTAGACACCTCCCTTAGGGTACACATGAAAATGCACTAAGAGCTAACACTTGCCACGCACCAAGCGCCATTCTAAGAGTTTCACAGACAGTCATTTGTTTTACCGTCACACAACTCTGTGGCGCACACACTGTTATATCCCCCCTTGACAGAGAGGTGAGCAAACTGAGCGCTCAGGGCCGTGCAGGTGTAAGTGGAAGAGCCAAGACCCAGGAGACACGGCTTCAATGCATGCTCACGCGGACTCCGAGACGGAAGGTCCAACAATCAAGAATTTTTAGTAGCATGTTATTTTTGCATCTGGTTATGGTCAGGGTATTACTTAATTTAAATCAAGTGGCTGTGTCGCAAGCTGTCATAATTCACTGCTGCCACCTTTTTACAGTGAGAAACTTGGGCTTCAAAGAAGTAATACTACATAAGTGGCCAATGGAAAAGGCCATTTAAACAGAGTGAGACTGTCTTCTTTCTACAGTTTCTGCCTCTGAAACCCAAAGCTTTAGCTATGAACACCCCACGTGCTCTGTGATCTGGAAGAGCTCAGTCTCCAGCTGATCCACCAGGCAGAGGTCTAGAGGTCCACAAAGCACAGGCTGACTGGTGACTATGCCATTTTCCACATGGATGCAACACGGCCAGGTCTGTTCCAGGTGTACGATAGGGAGATGAGAACCTTCAAACCTGGGAATCTGAGTTTCTCACCGGGGAGGAGAAAGTGCAGGTGAGATGATGGGGTAACACGGGTCCTGTCTACTCAGGCTCACTGTGTAGTCATGCACGCATTCCTGACAACCTCTTTGTCCCACTTCCTGGATCCACACAGGTGGTGGGCAGGTAAGCTGAAGGTCCAGCTACCTGGCTCTTTTCTCTTGTTTCTGTTCCTTGCTGCCAGAGGACGAAGCAGCCTTGGAGTCACCTTAGTACACCCCCTGATACCCTTTTTTTCTATTTTGCTTCCTTTGAGATGAGAAGAGGGCAAGTACTTCCACCCCCAACACCTGTTCTTTTTGTCCTGAACTGCCTACCGAGCACTCAATTGAAGGGGCTAACAGGCCAGGATGGGGTTGGGCGTATGGGAAGGTACAGGGGGTTTCTTAAGCTTTGAGCTGTGACACAGTTACACAGTGTTGATAAATTAGCATCGCACAGCTAACTATGAAACGATATTCCATTTGTCTTCCATCTGACATGCATTCTTTTTGTTTTAATTACTAGTAACAATATACCCTTTTTACTGTACACAACCAGCATCTACCACAGAACCTGCATGGAATATATAACTAACTGGACAGGTAAACTTCAAATCTAGTTCAAACCACCCTTAATGAAAAATTCCATCTAGACTTTCTATCCAACGTGGTAGCCATTAGCCACATGTAGCCATTCCAAATGGAAATGTGGTATAAGTGTAAAATCCAGACTGACTTTCAAAGTCTTAGTATGAAAAAAAATGTTAAATATTTCATTAATATTTTTACATTGATTATATATTCAAATAGTATTTTAAATACACTGGGCTAAACAAATCATTAAAAATTAATCTAAGCTATTTCATTTTACCTTCTGTAATGTGGGTACTAGAAAACAGAATTACATATGCAGCTCTCACAATACATTTCTATTGGATAATGCTGTTAATAGACCAGCATATAATCCATTAGCTATAGTGAAATTCTAAAAATAAATTCATATGATCTCAGGAGTGTTTTAGCAGGCATTAAGCAACAGGAGTCACTTCCAGCAAATGCTTTAACTTAGCTGTGTCTCAGTTTCCATGTTTATAAGAGGTGACCAATATAAATATTGTCCCAGGAGGGTTTGTATGGAGATCAAATCCAAATACCTGGGCAAAGGCTCTGGAAAATGCCATGTGTGATAGTTGCCTACTGTTCTGTGGATTCCCTTAGGAGAGAAAGCCACAGCAGAGCTCATCCAGTCCTGTCCTCTGAGCTACTTTCCTTAACCCAATATCCTCAAGCTGGCAGAGTAAATCAGGGCAAAAGTGGGGCTATCTGGGCAGCCAGAGATATGCTACCCACACAAGATTCCTGGAAAAAGAGGGAGTTGGTCAGTAGAAAAGCAAGTGGCTTTCTCAATACATTAGTCAGAATGATCTGTTCACCCATGAAAATACTCCCTTTGTGACTTACATTGTACTGCATAGGAAGCCAGAACCACAGCTGAATTCAGAGGGCAGGTTAACCTGTCATGAGAAACACATTAGCAAAGTCACAAGAACCAGTAAGAGCCTGAGAATCTACAGATCATAGGTAACACAAGTCTTTCTTTTCTTCGCAGCCATCAAGGAACAACATGAATTGTAAGAAAAACTACTCTATCATACAAACCAATCTCATATAATGAAGCAAATGTAACACACTAAGGATCTTAAAAAATAACTTTTTCATATTTAAAATAATATACATCCCAAATATCATGAAGCTAAGGGTCTAATATTAGCCAGTATTTGACTGGTCAAGAAAGGTAAGGCCCCTATATCTGAAACAAAGTAAACCAGATTCTTACATCAATGGGCAGTATTCTAATCCTTCTAGTAAAGACTTGAGACTGTGCAGGTTTCTCTAACTACATTCCTGAGTCCTAGGGACTTTGTAACTCTCAATTACCCTCTTTGTGGAATAGTGACATCCTCTTAAAAGAGAAAAGTAAGAAAGTATATTGAATTTTAACACTCACAATTCCTTAATTCAACTGACTGTAACTACTTAAGATTCTTACTTACATGTATTTACCCTCCTGAAGAGCTGCAGGGTTCACCCATCTGTCTGCCTCTCTCACTCTTCTATCATTTACCATAAATCCAAAGAGTTGGGGCAGATTTTCTAATTTCCTCCTAAACACCCCATTTCTGCCAATGACTCCACCTGTCCTAAGTCAGATTTCAAATCCTCTGAATGCTCTTTTCTCCCTGGACTTTCTGTTCTTCCCAGGAGCTCTGCCAGCAGAGTAGGAACAAGGATCCCTGTTGGGTAGAATGGGCTAGGAAAAGGAGGACATGCTTAACATTAACACTGGGAGATAAGGAGATTTTAAAAGTACTTTCCCAGAATCCAGTTTGAAAGTGGGGAAAAAAAATGCAGCTTCCATGGCAGCCCATGGAGTTCCCAAGATGTGACTTGTCTCTTCTCTAACTCATCTGGTTGGCCCTCCAGAGTTCCCCTTCCTGTCCACTGCACTGTTTGCTGATCCTAAAGCTATGTACGAAGTCAACATCCCTTTAGGCGTCCTATTTTCCCTCATGTAACTGTATTCCTGCTGGAACCTGTGAATGTTTCTCTAGGTCTACAGATCATTTATCATTCCCCTGGAGATCTCACAGGAAAACAGGCAGAAACGTGATGAATATCAGCCATTTGCTCTTCTACCAAGATGGCCTCAACATCTAGCCAGTGTCCCTGCTAGAGGGAGAGCGGGTGACAGAGAGACCTGGAGGACACCTTAGAAAGAGGCTAAAGAGGCTCAGTCAGAATGGAAAGAACAATCCTACAAATTCAAAACAAAAAACATTTCCAAAGAATGATGTTCAAAGTACATACTACAGAACACCAGAAGCCTGCTTTCTCCTCTCCATTTTCCACACACGCCTAGAGAGTTCTTCCTCTCTAGGCTTCAGGGTTCCCATGAGCTGAGTGAAGAGTTGGGCCTGGATCACTCCTCTGGGCAAGGAGGACACCAGTGATGGTTTCAACAAGCCAGGGGACTCGACATCCTAGAGAAATGCCATATTCCAACAAGCCGGTCCAAACATCCCTGGCCACAAATGGCCTTATACAGACCTGGAAAACATTTGGTAGCAAAGATCCTCTCCTCAAGAGAGGTGGTCAGGGCCATCTGCAGACCTGACAAGGAATGCAAGAAATCTAAAGTCCTCAAAACACTTCCACTGATTCACACAGATAACCAATTTCTCTACTTGGAGAGTGAGATTAAAAGTGAAAGCTCCTGAGCTCTTTCCTGCCTTACTAGACCAGCACAGCTTAGTACCTTGCTATCAACAGTTATTTGCAAAACATTTGCAGAAAAAATAAAAGTGTGTAGAAGAGAGGGACAGAACAAGTTTCTATGGCTGTATAGGGCAGCTAAGACCCAGGAGAGCAGTGGGGAATTTCAACCTGGAGTTATCTAAAAATGTAAGAAGGCTGCCTCATCCTCATTTCTGATCACTCTCATCTCTGGAGATGATCAAGAATAGGCTCAAAGGCTGAATGTGAACAGTGGACGCTATAGTTGCCATATGATTTCAGCAGCTCCTTTTGCAGGTATGTGCTGGAAAAGCCTTTGTGGATTACTGCGATAAGCCAGAATTGGGGTTGGTAGGAAAGTAAGGAGTAGGATCTCCCTGGGTAGAGAAAAGATAATTCTCACACAGAGGAAGGATGAGCCACATTATGAGGAGTTTACCATTCTAGGATTGCTAATAGTCAAGAGGCCTGGCAATCCTTTCTTCATAAGGAGGCTCTTGTTTCTTCTTGCTCATGCTCTTTCCTTAAATCTCCCTTTCTATATCCCCAGATCCCAGCCTGCATGTCTGCATCACTTCCTCCATCATCACTGTTTCTTCCTTCCCACCTGGATCAAAACCCTGGCCTTCCTTTGTGTACACTGACATAATTTCTGTAGATGTGGTCTTGCTATATCTCTCTGGCTTTTAAAAATTTCAACTAGTCTGCTCTACTCTCCCTCATGGATGTAAAATGGGCCTGCATTTTTCATGAAAAGCCCTTTCTGCCTTCTCCAAGCCACAGAAATGTGGTTACCAGCAGTTTCTGTGTGTGTGCTGCATGCACCCACATGCACACGATGGGGTGGTGTATCTTCTCACTGCTCAGGGAAATCCAACTCCTCACTTCTCTAACATCTCCAATGCTGGTCCCTACCAGCAACCCAGAGAGACTTTTCCACCCCATGATAGCCAAAGCAGCTCCTAAAATCCTACACTGATCATGGTCTCCAGTGCCCACACTGGGCCTAAATGCTTCTGGCTTCCTGCCTCATTTCCCAACTAGACTGTCAGCTCCTTCATGGTCTGTAGCACACTAGTGGTCTCTGATGACCCTCTTCAACAGAACTATTCTAACAGGAGGAAAGAGGGGAAATGAAATGTCGTCGTTTCCAGTCTGCCTGTTGCAGTTTCTTTCATGAATCAAGAAAATATTAAGGATTTGGAGGAGGCTCCAGGACCACAGGCTTGGACTTTTACCTCCTTTTCCGTGATATCACTGGATGCTTTTCAACCACTGAGAAGGTGTGGACATGGAAGAAGTGCTGAATCACAGGCAGATGCGCCTGTTTTTGAGGAAGAACCTTCCCAGAGAAAATCTCTCACTGACAGGAACTGGAGGACTCAGAAGGCCTGAGTTAGGACGAGTAAACCTTGCTGAAGGAAGCCAATTGTACATTCTGGATCTCTCCCTTTCACATTTCACAGGTCCTTACCAGAAAGATAGTTTATCAATCCTCAGCTTCTGTAAACCAAGACTGAGTTGAAAGCAGATGTTCAAAGCCTAATGTCTTTTTTCAACATCCAGTCTTTGTTTAGATTTAATATTGTTTCCAGAAATACATGCTCACTAGATTAAAACCAGGAATGTGGCCAGTCTGACAGGAAAAGAAAAATGCAAATTTCTCATTACCTTCCTTCACAGATATCCATCTTCAGTTGTAAGAAATACAAGTGCCTATGAAACAATTGTTTTCATTAATTCATATGCAACTAAAATAAGCAAAAAACACATTTTTTTGAAGAGTGAAGGACAAGACTGGTACGTCTGAGAAACAAAATACATAAAAATATAACTTCACATATTTTAAATGGTATCAGACAGTACAGTGTACGTTCAGGGCTGCCCCATCCACAATGACTACTCACGTTGGTACCCTAAGTCTCCACGGGTAGGGGCAGTTTTCAACCAGTGCTGGCTGAGCAGGAGTGGACTAGTGGAAGCAGCCTGCCTACAATCACTGATGCCACTGGTACTGGTGCCAGGGGGTACCCCTGTCCCCAGCTTGGGTCTTCCTAACCGGGCACCAGGGCCCACAGGCACTCCACACAAGCAGCCCCCACACACTGCCAGGCCACTGTTCTGAACATTATGCCAGCATTTGCACACCCACGTTCCCTCTGCAGGAAGCTGCTAAGAGGAGGAAGGAGGCCTGTGAAGATACCTCCTTGGCTGGGGTACAAAAACCCAGCTGGGTTTTTTCCTGTGTCCCAGGAACTGTGGGTGCTGAAACAAAAGCATAAACATCAGTACACCAGCCAGGACCTCCAAGACGCATCGTGCACTGATCTATGAGTGACCAGCCGGTGCAAATTCAAAATCCCAGAGCTGTTTTTTGAGCCAGTCATCACAGGTCCTCAGGCTGTAGGGCTGCACCACTGTCCTGGGACAGATGGGTAAAAAGGAGGCCATCGACAGCTCTGAGCAGACTACGAACTGTCTGGAGACATTTATATTTAGGGATGTACCACACATATGACACGTGGCTGCTAGCTCCCACTCTTTTTTAAAACCCAGATTCAAAAGGACTAGACATTCCACAGACTTGTCAGGAGGACAAAAGGGAAACCTCCTGAAATCTAATACAGACATGGTAAAAGTACACAAGGGCAGGAGAGAGGTCATTTTGGCAATTTCAACCAATCACTGTCATATCTCCTCAGTTTGACAAAGGTTAAGGGGCTGGCTTTTTGAGATGTGAATGCTTTAAACAGTATTCCAATATCATATATGCAGTTCTGAGCCATGTACATGGTACTTTGTAGTTTCCCCTGGTTTTAGCTTCCTAATGACACTCAGGTAAGTATAAGCATCTCTTTCTCTCTCTTTTTTAAACAGCTGAGCAAATCAATGCTCAGGATATGTGGGGCCAGCATGTTTTATTTTAACTAAGACACCCTTGAGAAAAATCCCAGTATACTACAACTTACTATACATTTATTGACTAAAAGACTTAGTATATACATCATATAATTATAATTAACAACTATATTGAGAGATGATATTGCCTATGTGTGTTGATTCATGCCCATTTGGTTTTGGAATCTCTTTTCTACCTAGGAGAACATAATCTGTCCTTTCTAGCTTGTTTCTATGTTTATCCAAGCTGACATTCAACTAGAATTAAGTGTTCTCTCCTGCTACAATGCTACTGAGAGAAAAAAAGGGAGAGAGTTACAGAAAATCCACTGGTAAACCTTGGCTTTCACTGAAGAGCCCAACTAATCAGTGTATTTTCCTAGGGATATAAATGAGAACCAGAACCTGGAGATTACCATTCACCAAATGTTACCTTGTCATGCACTGAGCAAAGATTCTGAGTCACCCCCAGGAAACCACATGTAAGGAAATCAGAATTGTGGAATGTAACTTGAATGTAGGAGACTATGTAGGTATCTTGAAGGAGCTTAAATTTTAATTAGAGACTGCCAGTGAATGAAATTCTGCTTAGAATGATTTAAATTTATCAGAAACACCAGTTGTGGAGACTCATAATAAAAAGAAAATTTAACAACTGGGATAAAGAGAAGTTATTTACAAGACAAACTTGGAAGACCTAACTACAGAAAAGTAATCACCCTTCTTACAGCATACCCCACCCATGACCTTAACTTTAGGAAAGGAGGAATGAACAACTCTTTGCCTAGATCCTTTTAAAACCAACAAACACTATCTGTATACTCCTCTAACTCTCGGGAACCAAATATCCTTAAAAAGAAAATTCACTTTCAGATAGGCTGCAAAGTGGGAGCCTAATAAATAAGATACCATGTGCCAGGAATATAGGAAAAAAATCCCTCATATAAGTTTTTAAAAAAAGATGTGAGAAAACAAAGCTGCAATCACAGTCTATAATATCAACACTCTGGGTGGCTGAGGCAGAAGGATTACAAATTCAAACTTAGTTTGGGCAACTTAGAGAGACTTTATCTAAAAAATGAAAACAAAACAAACAAACAAAGGGTGGGGAATGTAGTTTAAAACAAAGGTCCTGGGTGTAATTCATGTACTGGAACACGACATCCTCTCCATAAAACATGTGAGAATTAATGGTGGACTACTGCCCAAGCACAAGAAAAAAATCTAGTCATCCTAGTTGCCTACCAGCCAAACAAAAGCTATGTGAGTGGTTGTTCCGTGGCTCTTCCTGCATTAAGAGAAATCTGGAGTCCATATCCTAGGAGGCAAAAGCTATATTCTACTCTACAATGGGGACACTGCCCATCCTAACAAGCGAACAGGTGTTAGCTCTGAGCCAGTTAATTTTAATAAAGTCACAGACTGGGCATGGTGGTACAGGCCTGTAATCCCAGCACTCTGGGAGGCTGTGGTAGGAGGATCACAGGTTCAAGGCTACTTTAGACAACTTAGAGACCCTCTCTCAAAACTTTTAAAAAATGTTTTAAAGGCTGGGGATATAACTCAGTGTGAAGACCCTGGGTTCATCCTCAGTACTGCAAAAAAAAAAAAAAATATTTTAGATACGCTAACATTTGGTTTTTTAAATAGGGTTAATTTTGTTTATCAAATACACTGTTTGTTTATTTATTTTGGTACCAGGGATCAAACTCAGGACCTTGTGCTTGTGAGGCAAACACAGTACCACTGAGCTAAATCCCTGGCCCAGACTTTATTTTTTAAGAGTAATTTTAGGTTCGTGGCAAAATTGAATGGAAGATACAGATAGTCCTTTGCCCCACATACACACAGTCTCCTCTACTGTCAACACTGCGCCAGACTGGTGCACTTAGTTGTACCATTCAGTCAACCTACAGTGACATCATTTTCACCCAAAGCCCCCAGTTTACATAATGATTCATTCTGGTAGTCTTAGGTAAGAATGAATATTTATTACTCATCTTGAAGTAAAAGCTGCCTCTCTAGTCCCACCCACTACCCATAATGTTATGACCCAGTACATCTAATTTCTCTTTTTCTAAGATAGCAGCTTCATTTCTCCTACATTTCCTTAGATGTCCCTTAAATGACAGGAAAGCTCAGAAGCAAGATTCCGCCAGCTCCCACTGGACAGGAGTGAGCATCTTTCCTTCTCAGGAAGGAAGGAGACAGCCGACAGTCATAAGGGGCACTGGAAGGGGACTGCGGGGTGAGCCTGACCTGGCATCTCCTCCTCTGGGTTTCGTCACTGGTGAACTCTCACATGCCCAGTGGGTGCATGAACCTGGGGCTCCACGCTTCCAGCAGGGAGACCATGTGACGGACAGTCACCAGTTTAGGCAGTACGGCCCACACATGTGGCTGGAACCTATCAACTGGTAGTAAAATCTATTTAGTGAGTCACAACTGGCCATCTTTAAAAAAAAGGAAACAAAAAACTCAAGTGTTCTTGGTGTTTCCTATAGTTTTATAAAACGTCTTCAGAAATATACACACAAATATGTGTGTGCACTACATTATGATACAAAAATATATAAACACATATTTGATTGTGGGGCTGTGTTTTTTTTAACTCTCTGGCTAGAACCCCCCCCATACATATGAAAATACATTTGTACACACATAATCACAAACATACATAATGAACACACACAGAATTCTTTGTGTAATGTTTGTGGAGATGGGAGTATGCCGTCTAGGCTAGTGTTGATCCTCCTACCTTATCTCTCTACCTCTCCAGCAGATGGGACCACAGACATACCTGGCCTCACCTGATTCTTCATCTCATTACAAAGTATCCCTCACGCAGAATCTGTTGCCTAGTATTGGTCTGAGGAAGCCTTGGTAGGGTTATTTAAAACACATTCTCATAAAATTTGGCACCAACTCTGTATTCATCAGCTTATGAAATGACCTGCTGGGTTGAGCATTTCTACACTGTTCCCAGTCTACCAAGGTAAAGAATTGTGGAGGAAAAAACGAGAGCAGTGTGTACTTCCTGGTGGTAACCCGATGAGTCACACGGACCTTGTTTACATTGGCTTAAAATGTAACATAATGGTAAACACAGCCCAATCCTTAATGTCTGAGATGGTGGAGGAAGAGGTGCACAAAGAAGGCAAAAAAAAAAAAAAAAATACAGTGATAGGCTAATATCCGGCTTTTAAACATACTAACAAGTTAAAGGAAAAACAAGATAGCACTTCATGTCTGAATTCATGCTGCCTCTCTGGTGATGGTCATATGGCCACAATAAGCGTAGAACAGAATTCCACAATTCTGAACATCCATTGCTTTTTTGTGGTAAAATAGGTTCCCTCCTAAGAATAATAAATGGATGGATAATAAAGACAGAAAAGGTTGTTGGCACAGTCTGAGTTCCAGCTGCAATAGCTTTCCTGTACCACCCACTCCCATTCTAAGCACTGTGGTCCCCACCCAGAAAACCCACTTGCTGAGACCAACCTGAGCCGGCACAGCCTCTGAGCCCTGCAGGGTAAACAGCTCCTACCAGGCCCTCCTTCCCTTATCTGGTTCACGTTATTTCCTGCACCTGCTGATTTACCAGCAGATAAACTGGGTCCAGCTTGTTCTCTGTCCTAGCTCCTGCAAACGGGGGATCTGATAAGAAGTCCTGACTACTGCTGGTCTTGTCATCCTCAAGGGCCATCCAGGCCTGCAAGGGTACTGCGCTATGTGACGTATGGATGGCCTGCTCTCCAAATATGCTTTCTAAATTCAGCCTGCATTACTGGACGATAATTTTTTCATCCTTTGAGCACATTGCTCATCAACACGGAGGTGAAGCGAGAGAGGGGTGAGTGCCAGCATGCTGGAGACAAGTCTGGAGGTGAGAGAAGCAGGCCCAAGATTTAAAACTGATCCACCAACTAAAATTTCAATATATGTACTTGTATTCTTACTTGGCTCATGACTGTTGGTGCAGTCATACCCAAATGAAGTTATCTGGCATAGTTATAAAATGAAAAGTACATTTTTAGTGGTTACTTATTTTTATTTACTAAATAGAAAACTTTAAGAAAATGTTATTACCTGGTTTGTTCTTGCTGCAGTGTGTTGGGATCAGGTATAAAAAATCTTACTCGAAAATGCAGGGAACAGGGGAAACCTCCTACAACATTTTTCAAAGACAAATTAAGTTTTCTCTTTAAAAAGTCAATGTATGTAAGCTGTTACTCTCTTACAAGTGGTATATTTTCACTGAAGTGATGTATTTTTGTAGCTTTTCCCATTACAAAAGGGCTAATTTCAAATAAGGAGTACATAAATTAACTGTTTCAGAAATTTCCAAATCTGCAAAAAATATTCACGCAGTATCAGCATAGACTACCCTATCATCTTCCTCTCATTACACATTTAACATAGGGCTGTGCTTATCTGTAGTAGAAATTTTCTAAGTCTTTAAATCAGCATATTACACAAAAGTCCCAGATAAATAAGGCTTATATTAAAATAACAATTTATACTTTTCAAACACTTTCATGCACATTCTATAATTTAAACAACACCATGCCTATGCTAAGCTGCTGTCCCAGATCTTGTTTTACAAATGCGGCAACAACAGGCTTAGAGATGTAAGTGACTTGCCGCAGGTCACAGCTAGAGGCAAGGCCAGAATTAGAGCCCTGAGGATTCTGATTCTGCTGAGACATTTCAAAATTATTCTATATTGGAAAACATTTCAGGTTTTAAATGCAGAGCATATTAAATGATTACTATGTTACTGAATATCACACAATGAAAATATTCAAATATGGCTTTATGCATCAACACCAGGAGTCAATTCATTTGTGTGGATAAAATTCATCTGTTTCCTCTGATAGATATGGCAACAAAAAATCAGACTGTGTTGCTAAGATCCTGTGATCATTCTGCACCAGTCTCCTCTATGTGCTTAGCACTTTCTTACTTTTCTTCAGAACTCTGAAGCTCAAGTCCTTCTTGAGCCTGCTCCCCTCGCTGACCCTGCTGCTCTTCCTCTACTCTGGCTCATTCAAGGCTCTACCCACCCATCTCTTCAGTACCTTCCATTTTCACCTCTGGCTGCGGTTCACAGTGTCTCTAACGGTGGGTGTACATCTAATGCATCTGTACAATGCCTGAGTTCCCGCGGGGGGTGGTGTAACTCTGTCTGCAGGCTCACTACCTGCAACTCAGGCGATAGTAGAATCCCTCCATTCCCCTGGAAGCACCCCGCCCCCATCGTCTAACTTGTCAATTCTGTCTTGGGCATGGCCTCTTTGTCTTTCTCACCCACCTCTGGGCACTCACAGCATCCTATCTCATGCTCAGCACTGTCATAAACATTCTCCTCCTATTCCTCTTGTCTCTTTTCACACTTGGCTGATTGGGGCTGCATTTCTAGAGCTTGGTCTAGTGCCTTGCCAGTCTGAGATCTTAGAAATTCTTGCAGAAGAAATGAGTTAGAGACAGAATGAATAATAACACCTATCCATGCCGCGTGTGCGCTCATTCTTGTGCATTCACACTGGCAGGTGTTTATTTGTAAGAGGCTCTGTGACTCCCCGGGGTGCTCCTGAAAGACATAAGCCATGGGAGGATCAGAACTCTGAGGACTCAGCTCCAGGTGACTGCAGCACTGGGAGAAGAGCCATGGCTGCCTGTGTCAATGCCTTCCCACCTGGGGGTGGGGGTATAGGTGTGAGTGTGTGTGGGGTCATGTGCATGTACAAAGCCACCTACCTTTCATCCCTCTCCCATTCACTGGCCACCTCGTGTGTGTCAGGGGTCATGAGGGATGCAAGGGGGTATGTGGCAAGAGTCCCAATCTCAAGGGACCTGCAGCTCTGAGAGGAAGCTAAAGGTACGTAACTATGAGATGGGCCCAAGAGTGTTCAGCCCTGAAGCAGGCACTAATGAGTGACCGCAAAAGCAGAAGGACCAATGGCTTCAGTAGAACAGATGGGGTCTGAGCAGCCTTGAAGAATGACAAGAGTTAGATCTAGGGAAATGGGTGGGAAAGCAATCCCAGCAGAGGGAACAGAGGGAAGGCACAGAGGAGGCCTGGCAGACCGGCCAAGTTGGTTCATAAAAGGGACCAAGGTCAGGCATGGTGGAAAGCTAGACTGAGAACAGATCAAGGCAGAGGGTCAGTGAGATGTGGCTTAAGTAGTCCTGAGTTAACCAGTGCTCTGGGATCACTCGTGATGGATAAGCTGTGTTTTAGAAGGATCAATCTCATTTTTGTGACATGGTGCTCCTATGGCTCAACTTCCAGGGAGTGTTACTGTGATACTGTAAAGTAAGGGAGTTCTGTCTTTCCTATCCCGGCTCTCACACAGCTGAAAAAGATCATTCCTCTTCCTCTTCTTTCTAAAAAGAAACATGGGTTTCTCCGCTCTGAGCTGCCTGCTCTCACCTAGCCCCTTCTTGCCCACACTGGTGAGGATCATTGCGGGCTCATCTGGCAGCAGGTCTGCTGACTCAGAAGTGAGACAGGGAGAAATCATCTCACCCCTGTCTCCTGGGCCTCCAGAATCTAGGAAGCAGACAATACAGGCACCCTAATGATGGAAGGAAAGAAACAAGCTGCAAACACCTAATGTACAACCCAAATTAAAAGATCACACCAACCTTTCAACTGTTTCCTGATGGGTTTGCTTGATTCAAGCCATCTCTGTTGGGTGAGAAAATATAAGCTATAAAACCAAGCTGTGCGAGAATTCAGCACATTCTACAGGCTGGCACTTACAGGGGAGTCGGCTGAGTCTTCACCATGTTGCAAACCAAAATACTCCTTTTCGGTCACACCCAGGTGGGCATACGCCATATCCAGAAGTGACTGGCCAGTGTCTTGTTTCTAGGAAGAAAAAATAAATCAAGTGGGAATAATTTTAAAATAAATTAAAAATTAGTGTCTTTGTTAAGGCAAAAGAAAGTTTAAATATTCAGATTTTATGCACACACTCTTCCCAAAGCAGAAGAGTTCATAATGTCAAGTCACAAGGTTGTACCATACTTATGGCAAGGAGGGCCAAGACAACTACATCAGTATGATTTGAAATGATATGAGTTTGCACATGTGTGTTCTATTTATTTCATTTAAAAGTATGGCCTCAATATGCATCCATTTATGCTATCAAAATCTCTAGTTTCTCATTCTTTACGGCTGAGTAGTACTCCATTTAATAAAAAAAACACATCTTGGGGCCAGGAATGTAGCTCAGTGGTGCTGCCACCTGCCTCACAAGTGCAAGGACCCGAGTTCAATCCCTGGTGCCAATAAACAAACAAACAAACCACATCTTTATCCAGTCTCCAGTTGATAAGCAACTGAGCTGTTTCCAAGTTTTAGCAGTTACAAACTGTGCTGCTATAAACATGGGTGCACATATATCGCTGTGGTATAATCCTTGTAATTCTTTTGGAAAGATACCCAGCAGAGGGATAGCTGGGTCAAATGGAACCTCTAATCCTAATTCTCTGAGGTAACTCCATACTGATTTCCACAGTGGTTGCACCAGTCCACACTCCCACCAGCAGAAGAAGGTTTCCTTTTTCCCCACAGACCCACTGGCATTTGTTTTTGGGTGATTTGATAGCAGCCATTCTTTTTGGAGTGAAGTGGAATCTCAGCCACTGTTTTCATCTGCATCTCTCAAATGACTGGTGATGTTTAACATTTTTTTATATGTTTATTTGCTGTTTCTACTTCTATGTCTGAGAAATGTCTGTTAATTTTAGATGCGCAATTTTAGATTCGGTCTTTAAATTTGGGGGATCTGATTTTGTTAAAGTTTTTTATATATTCTAGACCTCTGTGTGTGTGTGTGTGTGTGTGTGTGTGTGTGTGTATTCTAGTAGACCTTTGTCTACTAAGAACAGCTGGTAAAATTATTTCCCCCATATTGTGGGCTGTCTCTTCACACTATTAGTGGTTTCTCTTGCAGTGCAGAAACTTTTTAATGAAATGAGATGCCAGTTGTTGGTTCTTTGTGCTAGTTCATGTGCAACTGAGGTTTTGGTCATGAAATCTTTTCCCACAGCAATAACTTCAAGAGTTCTACCTAACCTGTCTTCCAGCTGGTTTAGTATTTCTATTTCAATATTTAGATCTTTAATCCATTTCAATTTTAGTTTAGTGCATGGTGAGAGATACAGGTCTAGTTTTAATCTTTGGCAAGTTAAAACCCAATTTTTCCAGCACCATTTATTAAAGAGGCTGTCTTTCCTCCAGTGAGGGTGTTTAGCCCCTTTGTCAAAGATGAGGTGGCTGACTGTGTCTGGAGTTGTTTTTGCACCTTCTGATCTGTTCCACTAGTCCTCAGGTCTGTTTCTTTGCCACTACCATGGTGTTTTTATCATAGTAACTCTGTAGTATAGTTTCAAGTTGGGGACTGTGATACCTTCTACCTTGTCTTTGGTGTGAGAAACTGAAAGTGTAAATAGGGATCAAAATGTGTAATAGATAATTTGAAATAGGAAGACAAGGTCCAAAGGGGGAAGGGGAAGTGGGAGGCATAATGGAAAGGAATAAATATGAGAAAAGCAAAAAACAGCACCAAAGTTTTTATAAATAGGGAGGAGTGGAAGGGTTGACAAGAGGGCCTCGGAATGGGGAAAAAAATAAAAACCAAGACATATCATGTAAAAGTACAAATTCCCATTGATGGTGTCATCATATTGTATACCTAAAATGTACCAATAAACTTAATGAATAAAAAGAGATATGTGTTTAGACGAATGGCTTTCTAAGATTTCTTCCTTCCCTCTAGCAGAGGTTCTCAAGTAATGTCTAAATCAGAAACTCACGTGTTATAATTACAGTAAGCTCACCATGACCAAGCCACGGATTACCCACAGCAAACGCTAATCCCGGGTCAGTCTCTGCTGGCTTCTCAGGATGTGTGTGGCTCCGACTCCTGGAGGAATCCAGAAGTGTGCCTAGGGGAGGAAAACTCTCAACTCATAGCTAAAAATACTCAAATGCCGCTCAACATATCCTCAGAGTGATTTGGCCTGTGTCAGCACGCAGGGTTATCTGTCTTGCCGCTCTGTCACCTGAAGTGAGAAGCCGGTTGGGACATTCAGCACAGCTTCACTCCAGAGCAGGGCTGAAAGGCCTCGACTGCACAGTGTTTGTTGGGCATGTGTGGTGTACGCACAGACAGACCCACAGTAAGTGCCCTTTCCTGGCCTGGCCGTGGAAGCAACTGTAGCACAGAGTAACAAATGCCATCCAGTGCTTCAGAATCATCACGGCACAAGACACGTGAGGGACAACACAATTAACTGGTCAGCCCTATCTGGAGACCAAGGGAAGCAACCCCAGATCCTGATTTGGTTTTTGTTTTTTTGTGTTTTTTTTTTTTTTTTACCGGGAAT